GAAATTTCAGTCAACTTATCAAAAAGAGATTAATTAGACATCTTGAATGATAGTAAGGGTATTGCAACATTTGCTCAAATGAACACACATCGGAAATGTTGTCTGATACAAAAGTGTCAATTTTAGTACCATTAGCCACCTGTAGTTTGTAAGGTCCTGGTTTTAATTTCTGTTTTAGGTTTGATGGTAATACACTTATTTCTGCTCCAGTGTCTATTAAAAAATTATATCAGTGATTTCTATCCTGAATATAGAATAGACAACCTTTCTGTGAAAGTCTAGTAACAGTCGTCATCACTAATGGCTGGAATTTAATTTTTTAATGTTCACTATTGTCATTAAAAACACAAGTTTTCAGGCATAGTTTATCTTCTATACCAAATTTACAGTGGGTCGTAGCATATTTGAGTCTTCCTCTTTCTCTGCTAAAATTTCTACTGGAGCTCCTCTATCTGAAATTAGGTCTGCTTGTTTAGCATGCAGTGCTCTGTTGCTGTATACTCAAAAGAGACTGCATTTGTTTAGCTAAAATTGCAACTGTGGCTTGTAATTTTTCAAACTACTCATTAGTAGGTCATGTGGGTGTCTGTAAAGCATTTATATCTTTGTCTTTTAGACCTACATCAATGTAGTCCATTGACTCTGAGAGTTTGTCATAAGGGTTTCTAGTAAGTTCATAACCTTTTTGACTACTTCTGCTGGCAGTTTCTCTATGATATAGCAGTAACCAGCTCTCTGTGAAACAATTGTTTTAGCATTGAAAATTGCCTGCCATGACATTATGTTGTTTGAGTTAAAAGTTGTTAAATTTAAAGTAATGCTTCAGTGGGATTTGCATTGTGTTCCATGTTTGTATTGTTAATTTTTTTGCAAAATGTTAAAAGTTTATTTTAATTGATATGAATATGGCACATTGTTTCAAGAGGGTGAAAGAAAGGGCTAAGGAGAATGAATGATGTCTGTGTAGTAAATGAGTAGGAATTGGTATCCCAGTCAGTGGCTGTGAGGCAAAAAGTGGGTGTAGGGAGGTAAGAGTTTCAGGGTGTTGGTAAGGGTAGGTACAAGCAGCAATGTTTGTTTTAGGCTGTTGCAAGTTTATGAAACACATTTTTTTTTTTCATTTTTATCAGCTCTCTGCAGTCTCTAGCATAAAACTGTTAATGTTATTTCAGAGGGGCATTTTGCATTTAATGTTGAATTGTCAACACTTGGAGGGGAGTTGAAACACTTAATATTTCTATATACTAAAATTGTAAAATTGTGAAACAGCAAGATGTGGAAACAACAAAATGTGTATTATTTATTATCTGGTTGTTATGTGGTGTTGTAGACACAAGAGACAGTTAAGTAAAATTGTGAGTTTGGGGTCAAATGTAGATCAAGTATGGATCAGAATATGACATAATGATAAGATAAAGAATAAAGAATAAATTATATACTGAAAGTTTTTCATATTAAACTTGTTAGTTTAGTATGTAGGGGAGTTATAACTGTTAGTAAATAATTATAAACCACCTAACATTTATATATACAAAAATACACATAAAAATGAGAAACAGTAAGATGTGGAAACAACAAAATAAGTATTATTTATTATCTGGTTGTTATGTGGTGTTGGAGAAATGAGAGACAGTAATACTGAGTAAAATTGTTAGTTTAGGTTCAAATCAAGATCAAATATGGACTGGAATAGTTTTTCTATGTTTTTTTTTATAAATGTGTGTAATGAGTGCACAGATAATTTAGTTAGAAAATACAAAAAGTGTCTGGGGTTTACTTACCTCAAACAAATGTTATTATTATGACCTTAAAAATGGAAAAGAAATTAAATTTTTGTTGGTGCCTGTGTTAATGACTTGTCTATGTGATCTGCTTGTCCAATAGTGAGAATGTTGAGTGTGTGTAAAGAAAAAAAGTGTGATTGATTCTCATTGGCTTAGAATGAGTGAATTAATAATAATTATTATTATTGCTATAATTATTTTATTATAATTAACTTTGACAATATAATTTTTATTTATTTTTTATGGACACAAGAAGGTCAATTCAGAAAGGAAAATACATATGTCAATAAACAGTTGCTTTGATCATGGTTTGGTGATAACAAAAGGCAAAGATTTTCTTAGAAATCTGGTTTCCATAACTTATAGTAAATGATATCAACCTTCAACTGCTTTTGTTAGGATCATAATTTTATCCTTATAATTTACCATACAATTAAGAGGGCAATTTTCTATTAAACTGAATATAACAAACAAAAGAAAACTGAAATATCTTAGATTATATGTAATAAATTGTCATGCCTAATTTTTTTCCTAATGTGAACTAAAGCTGTTAAAAAAAGTTATTATCAGAATATATATTCTAATTCAGCAAATAAGTTGTCCCCCTCACATATCATCAATGAAAGTGATACTATATTATTTGTAGCCAATCATTTCAATAGACACTGAATCATTTATTTTTTTTTCATAATTTAGTCTATTCAATAGAATAGCAAGATAAAAAAGAAAGCAAGGAAATAACTTCTACTGTCATAGACTTACATTATAAAATTTAACATGCCTTCAATTCAGACAAAGTTTTATTTCACAATGTTAAACATGTTTAAATATTAAAAATTTATTTTTCTTTAATGATATAAAATAAATTAACCACGACAGAGAAATAAAATCAAACACTTACATTTTATTTTTATTTTTGTCATATTGAGAAGTTTGAAAAGCTTCCAAAAATGGAAACATTACAAACCAATAAAAAAATCACATGAATTCATGTAAAAAGTTGTATAACTAGTTATTTTAATAGAATAGCAAGTGCTTTTGCAAAATATTAACAGAACTTTTTTCTTAATAATATAACTTTTAAGAGAAAATATATTAAATGTTAGCACACTGTATGTTTTTTTGATTGAGCATTTTCAGTTTCAATGTAAAGTGGGAGCTATATACAAAAATAAATAAAATCGTTGGAATGAGGAGTTATCATTATTTACACAATTTATATATGTACTGTTGTCCTCATCTTTGTTCTCATTATCACAACATTTTGGCTGTTGTGCCCTCCGGCCTTCATCAGGTGTATATCAATCTAAATAACCTACAGGGAATTCTAAACTGAACCCTTTATTTAATCTACAGGGGTTGACTATTCACATTCCACTGCCCATGTCTAGGGATATCGCATCTTGTTCTTATTTTCAGCTTAGTCAGTAATATCACTAAAAAACAAGGGCTTACAGGGTGTGGAAGTATTAGGAACAGAAACATTAATGATGAGCTGAAAAAGCAGAGAGTAATAAGCAGATAGCGATTGGCAGTGCATTTAAAGTTGGCAGGAAAGCATGGGAGTTCCACAAGTGAGAAGAAACTGTTAGCATAAAATTTGCAGCTACATCTGGCCAGCTCAACTATAACTTGATGAGCTCTTAATGCTAGTTTAGCGCTACACTTAAATTCAAAAACTCTAGGTACACTGACTCTAGGTACCATAGCAAAGATTTCATTTGAAAAATTACCATGAACATGAAAGTATTCATAGAAAAAGCAATAGAGGCAACCTTACTGTGGTGGGAAATTGACTGGAGCTGACCCAATAATATTGCAGATTCTTCTTTGGATCTTATCAAGGAGGTCAAGTTAAATAGCAAGGGCACCGGACCATATGTGGCAGCAATATTCTAAGCAAGGATGTTTTATATGTCAACCAACACATTCCAAGATTATTATTGTGTTGGAAAGACCCCCAAACCCCTTATTTACTTAATCTAAATAGTGCTTAGGATTTTACAAGCTATTTTGAAATAGCTTGTAAAATCCTAAACCCTAAAGAGAGAGTATAGATGTGTGATGTATAAGACTTATAATTATATAACCAAAATAGAAAATGTTTTGTTAGTGAAGATACATTTTTGTCCTAATGTTTTTGAGAAATCAGAAACCTTGTTCAATTAGTAAACCAGAGATATTTCATTAAAAATTGAAATCTATCTTAAAGATGATTTTTTTTAATGTTCCTTTTGCACTTAATTTTTGGATGTGCAAATAAAAGTTATTTGCAGAAATGCATTACAATTTTAATATACAGAAAAATAGTTTGTTTACAGAGAAGGGTGAAAATATATCAGTGATTTATATAACATAAAAACAATTTTCACTCTTCAAACAAATCTATTAAAAAAAATCAAACAAAATCAAGGTACTTAGCTAATATGTATAGAAAGAAAACAAGCAACAAAATAATGTAACAAAAGATATTATATAGTTTAATTCAACAGGTTATCATTTTTAAACATATTAAAATTCAAAATTATAATTTTCTTTCCTTGTAGCATATTTATATGTTTTTACATTAAAAAATAAAAAATTACTCTAAAAGATACATCCAGGAAGATATATATATATATATATATGACAAAAAATATAATTTTAAGTTATGCTATGCTTATGGATAAAAGTGCACATTAAGATTAACATCAAGTAGTGAGAGTCTGTTTCAAGTTTGAATGTAATCTTCATGAGATGTGTATTTCAAGGTAGCTCAACTACTTCTATATGCTGACCAAAGGGGCATTATGGACAGCAAGGTCAGGTATTTTGAGTTTATTTTGTTATCTTAACAGTTATTTGGTAGACAGGAATGGTTATATTTTAAATGCTTTTGAGTACAAATAGATGTGGACCAGAATGTGTTGATTTTATAGCTATTGTTTGTTAACTTTTAATTCATTATGTAATGAGTTTAAAGTTAGCAAAAACAAACAAACCTATATTGCTATCAAGTATGAAAGACTTTTGCTACTTGATGTTAAACAGAGTGTCCACTCATATATAGTTTTATTTTAGTGCACTGGAAATAGAATTTAAAATAAAATATTTGTGGAGTCCGTTTGTTGTCCAAATATGTAAGTATAGCTACAGAGTAAGTTGCAGCAACATACATTACTATTCCAAACAAATTGTCAAATTCTACAAGTTGACTAACTGATGAATTTTCAGAAGTCAAAGATGAGTGGTGATGCGCTGAAAGAGAAAATAAAAAATAATTATGTATCATAAATACATTTACATTTTTAAGAACAATAAAAAAAGCATATATATATATATATATATGTGTATTATATATATATATATATATATTTTGTTTATATGTTATTGTTGGACATACTCCATTGCATAAAATATTACAATAACTCTTCTTATATATATATATATATATATATATATATATATAATAACTCAATATTGAAAATATAGATATATATATATATATATATATATATATATATATATATATATATATATATATATATATATATATATAATAACATATTTTAAAAAAAATATAAAAAAATATATATATATATATGTGTGTGTGTGTGTGTGTGTGCAAAGTTTTAGATTTAGTAAATCTGTAAAAGGACAATATGAATAAAGACAAGAGGAAAACTTATCTTAGCCAACACATTTCATCCTCTGAAGGACTTTATCAAGGCAAATGTAAGGATTTTATTTTGTAGCAAGTATTTATATACAAGAGCAAAAATGTTATTGATTTTTCAAAAGTTTTATGCTCAGGAATGCTCATAAATATTCATCAGGTTACCTGAAAAGTCAGGCAACCTATATTTATGAATGTTCCTAAACCTAAAAATTTTGAAAAATCAATATTTTTTCTCTTGTCTATAAATGCTTGTTACAAAATAAAATCCTTGCACTTGCTTTGATAAAGTATCTCAGAGGACAATATGTGTTGGCTAAAGTTTCTGCTGTAACCCATGGAAAATATATAAAGTTTGTCCTATAGAAAATGGAAGACTGCAAACTTTGTTGTCACCAACCAAAATTATCCCACCAAATCTAAATAAGCAGTGACCAATACAGTGTACCAATTTCAATGCCCAGTACAAGACTGTTACTTGCCAAAAATCAATTACCTATATTGGACACACCACTACCTCCTTAAGTAGATGTCTTACATGCCACCTTTCCAAGCAGTGTGTGATGAATAAGCATTTATTAACTCAAAATTTACAAGAACCTTTAAGGAAAATTCTAGTCAATAAGAAAGGTTCTTTTCAAATCACATTGTCATACACAACTCATCATTAAGGAAGCATTACTGATTAAATACCATCCTCCCACTATCAATCTTACACTATTTAGCAGTAGAGACAGCGGTTAAAGATTTTCTAAAAATAGAATGATGCCCAGATCAAATGGACACACATGACCATTGAAAAGCATACACACATCTCCTTGCATGTATATCACACAGGTAAAGTACTATATAGAAGTCATCACACAGAAATTCAACATCAAAAAACAACATATTTGATAATGGCTACAGAACTAGGTGAAAGCACTTGGAATAATTATAACTATGGACAATTTCTATATTTTTTAACCCTTGAAAAACAGAAAAATGTTAGAATGCTGGAAAAACTCAATAAAAGATTAATTAAATCTTCCCTGTCAGCTTTTTTTAATGAAAGATGCTTGAAAGAAAGGTTGCTGCCCAAATGCACATTAATTATATATATATATATATATATATATATATATATATATATATATATATATATATATATATATTGTATTTCATTTTTGCATGCACACAAACATACACACACACGTGTGTGTGTGTGTGTGTATGTGTATAAAATGAAACACTAGCCACAAGTTGTGGAAACTTAAAATACAAAATAGAGTCATCAAAGAAAAAAAAATGATTCAACAGTTAAAATCACCTAGTGAATTAAAATATTGGTTGATGAATTTGGTGATATAGTAATTGTGAGTTCAATCACTGGGACGGGTTAGTACAGTGGAAACAGGACGAGCAGTACTGAACTAGACCAAGACGAGATCTCCCTAGACATGGGCAGCAGAATAAGAAACAATCTAGCCCCACATAGTATTCAGTTAGTAATTCTGTGAGAGAAAATAGCAATGGGATAGTTCAGACCCAAAATAATAAAAAATTTGAGGTTATAAATCCAAGGGTCATAAATGAATCATGAAAGTCCGAAGTAAAATATGTTGGGGGCATAAATAAAAAGGAGTTAAAACTCTGTATCCAAAACTCATGGAGGATTAAAACTACCAGTCATCCAAAACAGTGCTCTTTTATTGGAATAAGAAAGATTGTGATTGGTCATGACTAGTAGCCAATAGGTTTGGTGCTATCTACTTGCGTTCAGTTATTATGGTGTACAGAAGAAAATGGAAACATACACCGGAGGTGAAAATGCTTTCATGTTGCATGCTGTTTTTGCAAAAAAAAAAAAAAAGAAAAAAATGACTCTTCATGAAATGAGGTCAGTGAGTTCATCTAAATGAGATTCTATTAAACAATCATGGTTAAAGTATCACTGAATGGATTGGATTGTATAGAAAAATGTCAATCCATTTTCATGCTCCACAAATAGAAAACTATAAAGTTTGATATATGAAGTTAGGTATTTTGACAAAGTCATTCACAAAGAACAATGTTTCTTTTTTTATTTCAAACACTTTCCAGTTGCCTGCAATTTTTACAATGTCTCAAAGAAGGTAGCTTTTTTCGGCTAAAATATAAATAAAATATCAATCCAGAAACTTCAATACTATAGCCTTTAAAACATTGTCACAACTTCCTTTATGAAAGGACAACACTAACCAGTTCTCAAAAAAGACTGTCTAAACAAAAAATGATTTCAGCTGACAGCTGCAGCAGTTTTCATTATTGAATGTCTACAGACAGATATAAACTTACACATATTAGAAATGATAATTTTATATATTAACCTCAAATTAAGCTCTATTCGGCAGAACAGAATAATTTCATATTTTATGAAAGAAAATTAGAAATTTGCTAAAATATTCCTAAATGGAATAATCATGCCACATATAAATATTTTAAATATCATATGAATTAACATTTCAAGACAATCTTTAAATTCATTTGGATAAATGTTGTGCATTTTCTTCAGTCTTCTTTCACCAGAGTTCCTTCTAAGTTCTGTGTGTGCCTGTGTGTGTGCATATGTTTTGAAAAATGTGCACAAATAATATTAATGGGTACACAAAAATTTAATTACTTAATAAAATGTAGTAATTAATACTTATAAGTAATATAATATTAAGATTATAACTACTTAAATTAAGAGAAAGAATTAGCTAAGAGATTATTATCTCTTAGCTAATTGTTTCTCTTAACAATTTGGTCAGTTTAACAATTACACAACATATAATTTTTGCATGCAGTGACTATAAAAAAAAATTGAAGGGAACATTACTCATGACCTAGAAAAATGGTTTTGAATTAATTACATCTTAATTTTTTAAAAAAATGGCAAAATTAATTTTTAAACCACAGTAATTCTGCATTAAATTAAATAAGATAAAATAAGAGGAAATAAGAAAAGACTTTTAAAAATCACTAATCTATTTAAATAATGAAAATGTTGAAATTGTTAAAAATCAACAAGAAAATCTTTCATGGTGCTAGAGAAAACAAAAACAATGGTAGTGTATGAACTAGCATTAGTATCAGTCTTTGTAGTTGAATGAATTTCATTTTATTTACCAAAATAAAGTTTAACTGAGTTATATAACTATTCTTACTGGTAACTAACAAAAACATAGATGACATTTTGTAAGAGTTCAAATATCCCAGGTAGCTGCAATTGTGCTAAGTGATTTTTTAAAAAATACAGTGCTCTAATGCCCCTTAATTTTAAAAAAAATCACAAACACCAAATCCAATGGAAAGAAACAATGCAAATATTTTAAAAATTAAAAAAAAAAAAGCAAAGGCAAATAAAAAATATTTTAAAGCAGATGAAAAATATTTTATGGCAAATAAAAAATATTTTAAAGCAAATAAAAATACTTTAAGGCAAATAAAAAATACTTTAAGGCAAATAAAAAATACTTTAAGGCAAATAAAAAATACTTTAAGGCAAATAAAAAATACTTTAAGGCAAATAAAAATATTTTAAGGCAAATGAAAAATATACTGAACACCAGAAAGCAATAAAAATTGAAAAGAACTTTAAACAAATACCATAAACATAAAGCATAAAAAGAAAGTGAGTCAACCATTTTTCATGCATAAATGGTAACCTGAACCCTGTAATCCAAGGAACAAATAGAAGAGCTGACAAAGAGACGAACAGACAGAAGATTTACCATGGTTCAGCAAAAGAATGACTTCTTTGTTGGAAATCATAGGTGAACATCTTTGTTGACATCACATTTACTTTTCTCTATATCTAATGAAGAAAAACAGTTTTTTCAAGACACAATGGAAGATTTATTATTTTTTATTAAAGAAGTACACATACAAACATGCTTCAGAGCAAAAATATGTTTTAACTTTGCATGTTTCAGACAGGAATGCAAAAATGTAATTTCATGTTTGGAAGAGTAGAAAATCATTTTTCTTATCCTTGTCTGAGGACTGAAATCACTACAGCAGTAACTGTGATACCAGCCTGCTAAACCATTATTTCATTGTGAAACACCTGAAAAGGTTATTTATTCAAGGTTATAAGCATGTTGCATCCAGTGAGGTACAAACTCAGTACATAATAAATAGTCTGTAAAACAAATTTACTGATTCAGTATTATCATTTTATTTTAAAAAAATGTGACTTGGGGGGGAGGGCTTCAGAATGGCTCTGTAAAAGCAGCGCAGTTTTGAAGAGCTAAACATTTGCAAATATTTTTCAATTTTGTTTTGTCATTAAATAGTATAGAATGATTTTCCATGGATAGTAGGATAATTTTATAAGTAGATTTAATATTTTTAGTACATACCCATTACTGTTGTTGTTATTACTATTACACATCCACTGATTATGACATTCAATTTATTTTGCAATAATGTAACCAGTTTTGTGCATAACATTATCCAAATATTTTGAACGAATGCAACTTTTGCATTCAAAGTCACAAATATCTTAACTAATTACACTAAGTAATAATTAAAACCAAAATAGATTAACAAGTAATTAACAGTTGCTTACCTCATATTGTGAACTAACAGCTGTTAAGGCATCATATGTAGTGAGATACATAACATGTCGAAGAGTCTCAAAGGCAACAGATTGCTTAAGTACAGCAATAACTTTGTCTGTAAAAGAAACAAATTTCTTTAAAAAAAAAAAGAAAACAAGAAAAACTACAGCTTATTCAATTTTCGATTGAAGTATATTCTTATTCTATCAATTATTTGAACCAATATTCTTGTCCTTGCTGGTCTGAACCATTCTTGGAATAAGGATTCATCTCAGAATTTCACTTCATATTTGGCAAATTGGTTCTTATATTAATAGAAATACCAATAAAAAGTAAACTTCTTAAATCTGTTGTCTATTAGTGATGAGAATTAATGTTCTAATGACAAAAATTAAAAAAAAAAACTATCCTATCAGTATTCCTTTTACCTTTTGCAAACAGGATTATTATGGGATATCATAATTAATGTCTAATTACCACATTTCATGACATATGATCCCTAGCATTTGCGTTTAATATTACAATAGCCTAGTCAACAAAATCTGTGCAAACATAAGCCGACCAGATATTTCAACTTCACATATATAAGATCTGTGAGGTATTTTTAAAGCCATTGTTTTTTAAGCTAGAGACTTATATTTAATGAAATTGAGTAAATATCTGTTGCAATAATGAGTATAAAAGAAGAACAAAATGTACCCCAGCGATTACCTCAGTTAGTTGTTTTGATCACATTCTCATTACAAGCTATAAGGAAAATCAACTGCATTTCTACTGCTAGTATTTAGATCCTCAAATATATTATTTTTCCATAGTTTGTCTATTTTCAGCCTACTCTGTACCAAAAACTTTTTTGCTTTCCATAGCTAATATTTCATGCTACAAGAGTTGATTGTTTTTCCATTGTCCCTACCCACAAAAGGCTGTTGCTTTTCTACAGTAAGTATTTAGCCCCCAACATCAAAATAATTTATTTTTTCACAGCAAGAATTTATCACCCTTTCCACAAAATACTTTCCTGTTTTTTTTATGTGGCCATAATATAGCCCGCTTTCCACGAAATGCTTTTTCTACTTTTCCAAAGGTAGTGTAGTGAGAGACTTGCTCTAATCAAAATTAGCAATAAAAATAATTATAAATATTATAACCTAGAAAAGGTTACTGAATGAGGAATAACCAAAATGGAGATTGGAAATGAAATGGTAATCTTTATAAGACATTGTTAGGCAAAAAAATCATACAGCTTCTTTTAGTTCAGGCCTGAATGTATGAGAAATTTCATAGAAAATATGCATTCTCCAATAGGAATTGAAGCTGTATCCTATACGAAATTGTCATTTGATCTGACGTGCTATACCGCTTAGCTATAGAGGAGCATCTGGTTAGCAAAGTCCAATTTATGTTTTTAAACAGCAAATGTTCAACAATCTTTTCCAAAAGATTTGTAGTTTAAAATCATTATTTTTGACTTTGCTAACCAGATGCTTCTCTATAGCTAAGTGGTCAGATCAAATAAGTTCCATATAGAACACAGGTTCAATTCCTCTTAGAGAACACATATTTTCTATGAAATTTCTTGAAGATTCAGACTGGTAAATGTAATTAATACTGTTTAATTTAAAAGACAAAGTATTTACATACATAAATTGCATCTATTAAAATAATATATAAACAAAAAATATTATAAGTAATTGTCAGACTTAGTCCATTCCATTTTATATATATATATATATATGAAGAAAAAATGAATGCTGGACAAACGTACTTATAAATTTTAGATTTAAAATAAAATTCTTTTTCATTTAAAATATACTCTATTTTAGGAATACATTTTCACATCAATGCCCACATGACACCGACATGATCGTATTGTGAAACGGAACGCTGATCTTAAAAATTTCAGTTATTCTGTTTTGATTAGTCATATGTCTATCGTCTTTTCATGTTGACTTGAATATCATCTAATTTTAATTATGTTTTAATAACTATGTCCTGAAGAAGAATGTAATTTCAAAAGAAACAAAATAAATAGAATAAAATGTATTTTTTCTTTTTCCCTCAATAATTTTAAAATTTTAAACTTAATATAGATTAAATTTACATTTTTGAAATGGGTAGTTTTTAATTTTAATTTCAAATTTTACCATACAATTTAATACTTATTAGTTAGAATAAATTCTATTTTAGTATAAACCCGACTTTAAAGCATTTAATAGTTATTATAACCTTACCTCGTTGTCAAGTTTTTTGAATTCTCGTATACTTGTATTTTGATTGGTCATTCCAGCTCATGTGACAGCCTTTCCCCTTGCGAGGGGTGGTTAATTAATTTGAACCTTTTAAAACCCTTTATTCTACAATCTACATTCAACATCATCAGTTGATAAGAGACCAGATGTGTTGAAACAAAATGGCTATTTTTGTAGTGATTTTATAACATATTTATGTTATAATTTTTAAATAAATAATTATATATATATATATATATATATATATATATATATATATATATGCAAGTATCTTTATACAAAGACTTTTGTGTTTTATTTGAACTTTTTCACGTATTTATGTTGCTATATGTTCATTTACTTTGTAAATGAAGTCAATGCTGCCCCAACCCCAAATGACTTGTTTTTCTACAAACCATGCTGTTCCAAACCCAAAGCCTCTAATTACCTGAATTATGAAACAGAGCAAAACTTTGGCATATTTACTATTAGCATTTACCATCAAGATAACTTACCATTAAGGTGAGAAAAATGACACATGATACCAGTTTTTTTATAATCTTCATAAAGCTAGTGAAAAAAAAAAAGAAGAAAAAGTAAGTTTTGGAAACATTTCAACATGAAAATCGAAAGCAAAACAATTTATTCGTTCTTTATTTAATCAGATATTGATAAGCAACAATAAAATTCTATAAAATATTTTTTTTTTTACCCCTTTATGTGATTTCTTCCATTATAATATTGAGTTTCTTTTAGATTATTGTAATTTTTATTTTGAAGAACTGTTTTAACCAATTCTAAATAATGAGTAAGTTTTAATCAGGAAAATAAATAAAGAATGAAAAATAATGAAATAAATAATTACAAATTAAAATGATTATCACAATAAAGAGGCCTAAATTAAACTTGATTGTGGTCAGTTTTCCTTCTATGAGCACATTTGTACAGATTTGAGTATATAGATATATATGCATGGATAAAAAGCAACCATAGCATGCATTATTTAAAATCATTGTGCCAGTACTTTGGGACTTGTGATAAACTAAACTGACAATATATCCTATTTACTTTGTTCAGACTGTTGTCCTCATCTTTATTGTCATATTCACAACATTTCTCTCATTGTACACTTTGGCCTTCTTCAGGTGATATACGTTGGGATGTTTAACTGAACCCTTTATTTCATCCACTGGGGTGGATTGTTCTAGTTACACATGCCATGCCTTTTATTGGTTGAAGTAATCTAGTGACTTGACTTGGCCACAGTAGGGCTGAACAAAAAACTTGGAGAGTTGAGTTACTAAAGGGAAATAACTGAAACTGAGATATCCAGAAAAGGCATGGCATGTGGAACTAGAACAATCTACAAATGGACAAAACAAGCGGTTAAGTTCAAAATTCCAACAACTATCACCTGAAAAAAGCCAGAGAATACAACTGCTGAAACATTGTGAATATGACAATAAAAATGAGAACAACAGTCCAAACAATGTAAATAGTTACAATACCTCATACCAGAAATATAGACAGATATTAATATTAAGCTGACAATACTTTCAACTTGGAATTTCAGTTGTTCATTTCCTGAAATGTTAATTTTTTATTTACATACCAAGGCAGCCATGATGTCTCAAAACTCAACTACCACAATTAAATGACTTTAAATAGTTTTCAATCAAACAATTATTCAATATATGGAAAATACAACAGAACAAAATTTAATATATCAAAAAAAAAATTAAAAATAGAGTATTAACAAAATATTAAAATTTCATATACAGAAAAGTTTAAGGAACTTAAGGTACAAGATGGCTTCCTCAGAGAAGGAATGAATTGAAATTAAGTTATTTTCTGGTAGAGTGATTTCAAGAAGCATTCTGCTTTATCATCAGAAGATGATACTTCAAAATCAGTGGAAGGAGGAGGTATTGAAGATTTATGCTTATTTAATACATTATTACATAGCTGCAAGTAATCACAAAGACCAAACTTGTAAGAGGCTATATGGTGCCTCATTCTATCAACAAACAAAGACTAAGCCTAATTGAGGACACGTTTGCAATTATTATGAGCAGACACAAAGAGACATCTGTTGTAATCAGAGCACTCACATTGATATAGCCGGAAAAAGTGATTCCTGTGGGCAATTGAACAGGCAGATGTGAACCAAAGGGAAGACTGGTTTTACCACAAAAGCATCACACAAGAATAAACCTCAGTTGAACAATTTGACAGAGAGCAAGATTAAAGATTTCACAAAATGAATCTCAAGTAGAATACTGTTAACAGAAAAAAAAATCTTGTTAATAAGGTGTTCCTATCTACTCACAAGATTTCTTTATGCTACAAGGTTTCCAATTAGGATTCATTTGGTGATTTTCTTTGTACATATCCCTTGAAGTCAACTCTTTCATCTACCATCATACATGGTGCCACTGAGGTTTCCTCTTCTTCAATCTTTTCACTTCAATTCTGCAGAATGCTTTGTGCATAAATTCTCTTCCAATTCTACTAAGTATCTTTGCCTAGGTTTCTGCTTAGAACTCAGTCTCTAAAGTTTAATATTCACACAATTCCCTTCATAGTTTCTGCAGTCATGTCTAAACTTAATTTCCACCAAGCATGTAGACGCAATGATATTTCTGTAACTGTCCTAAAGAAATGTACCCCTGAACTGACTCTTGTTCTAAGCTCTAAAATAAATGACTTGCTGTTAATTGCCTTCTAGCTTGTTGGAAATCCTCTTCTGTAGTTCCTGTTTTTAAGAACTCAGGCAAACCATCTAATATTTTGAATTATCGTCCAATTTGTCTTTTACCTCTTTTTGGTAAAGTACTAAGGTTTCTAATCAACTTATTGGTTAATCATCTCACCTTGCAGTGTCTTTCTTTCGGGCAAATAATTTCACTTCTCCAGGTCGGTCAACTGCCAATGTCTTATTTCAGTTATTGCTGAAAGAGTCTGTCAAGCGTTAAATAAGAATAGTGAAGCTCAAAGGCATTTGACAGGGTTTGGCATGTTGGTCTTTACAAATTGAAGGATTATGATGTTTCTGACCAAATTTTGGATTTGATTCAATTTTTATCAAATCATAAAATGAAAGTTGTCTTGAATAGCTACTCTTCTAGATCTTTCTAGAAAATGCAGGTATCCTCCAGGGCTCTATCCTTTGACCTACTTTGCTCCTAATTTTTATCAATGACCTTCCCAACATCATTTGTTTTTGGTAGCATCTCATAATAATATAAATTTTGTATGTATATATGTACCTGTATACATGCATCACTTATGTATATAAACTCAATTTATTATATGACAAGTTAGAATCTAAATTGTTTCAATTGTGAAACTTTCAAGTCCTAATTTGATATCTGAAATTTTTAAATTTTACTTTAATCTTTATATTTGCTTTGTAGCGCTATTATTGCAGCTATATTTAGATATCTATTTACCTGTCAATCATTTGAACCAACAATCTACCTGTAATCAATAAAAAAATAAAAAAAAAAAGAAAGTGTACCTACCTGTAACATTGCATCAGCTCCCATCTCATCAACAAAACTAATTCCAGAACATTCTATAATAATCTGATGAACCATCTCTTTTGGAACATCATTTGACGGACCAGCTTCAAATGTTTCTGAAATTTCATTCAACTAGTCAAAAAGAAGAAAAAATATATTAATGTTTGGTTTAGGGCCCCCAGGAAACCTGAAATGAAAGTATTTATCTATATTTCCACATGATATGGAAGGCAAAAAATAACCTTTTTAGCATGAATAATTCTAAATAAAATTAAAAAAAACCCAAGTTGATATGGTGAGATATAGTCAAAAGAATAGATTTAAGATCAATTGTTCTTATTTTAGCATCAATCATTCTTAACCATTTTGTAATCATAACATTTTCAGTGTATAAGGCTACACTCTCTGTCAAGAGAAGAAGAAATGAGGACTGTGAATGGTGATAAAACAATTCAAGATGGATGCTCTTAGTATATAATTCCTCGGGGTATAACTTTAGTACTTATTCACTCAGTTGATGTTGAGATTGGCTTATTCATCAGCAGTGATCTTTTGTTCTTCTTTGATCAGTGGAAGCTTCGTTTAAAAAATAATTCTTTTCAACCAACTTTACTACAAGCCATTTTTGCAACTTAAGAAAGATGAATTTTTGATTTAAAATTGATACCTGAATTCAGTGGCTCAAATGCATACCAGTCTCTGGTTAAATGGATGAAAATATTGTCCTGGGGTGTAATTCATGCAATATAAAGAAGCCTAGGGACAATTTATAATGAGATGGCTGCACCCAAGTAAATCTATAGATGAGTTTTTGGAAAGATCACAGGTTTTCAATGTAATTTAATGTAGTATCTGGCCACACGTCAGTCTGTTCATTTGTGGCTTAGTTAGGAGAAAATGTAAAGCAGCTTGTTTACACCTCTTGACAAATGGATTCTATCAATGCTGACCAACATTTGATCCGAGTCAGGCTGATACTGAAAAAATACAGCTGGACTACTAAATCTAGCTGCAGCATTTACATAATTAGTATTAAAAAAATGTCAGAAGAAACACCAACAGAAAACCAAGAAACTGTTGAGTTTATGCGCTACATGTATCATGTTGAGTTTATGCGCTACATGTATCATGTTGAGTTTATATACTACATGTATCATACTGAGTTTATGACCTCTGATCAGGAAATTGGAGATTTGAGGAACATGGAACCACCTCTTGATTACTGTTGTTCCCAGGTCCATCTTGACCTGGGGTGGTAGCACCTGTTAGGGCCCCAGCTAAGGGCAAATAGTGAACCAACCAAACAAAACAATATGACCATTATTTACATTATTCAGACCTCATCTTTGTTGCCATATTTATCACGTTTCGGCAGTTGCATGCTCTGGCCTTCTTCAGGTGGTTGGAACTGAACCCTTTATTTCGCTCACTGGGGTAGACTGTTCTAGTTCCACGTGCCATGTTTAATGGATGTCAGTTATCAGTTATCTTCTGTTAATTCCTCTCTCCAAGTTCTCCACTGCCTTACCCGTGTATTGAATTCACACTCTTTGGGTCCTGTCACTGGATCTAACCAACACCTTTATCCACTATGCCATGTGTCCTTGAGGACATATGTGTATTAATTTCTGGGTATTATAAACCTAATGTCATCAGCAACCATTTTTTACCAGTGCTCATATTGCAATTTTTGTTGTTGTTATCACTTTTCTCTGGCACTCCTTATTACTGGTTCCCATATTGTATTCATTCTATGCTTGGTTGGCTCAGGAGATTTTTGTGGCCTAGCATATGTGCTGATTCTTTAAGTTTATAAATTTTCCAATGGTGTTCTTCATCTATGATTGCAACCTGATCCCACAGAGGGCGGTGAGCTCCCTTTTCTCTCCATATGTGATCAGCCATGGCTGATTTTTCAACTTCTCATGTACAGCTTTTTGGTGTTCTTGAAGCCTTACCTTAAGGAGGCGGCCTGTCTCCCCTTTATATTTCTTACCGCAGTTGCACAGAATAGCGTACACACAGTCTTTAGTCATGTTCTCCTCTATTTTTTAGGGTGTTATCAGTTTTAATTTCTTCTGTTGAGCAGAGTGAAAGTTCTGGGCATTTTATTACTCTCTTAAAGGAGTTAAGAAGTTGGTGGGGATAAGCCTTTACTTTCTTGTTTATTTGATTGATTTTTAGTATGTTTTCTGAGTCATTTTTATTTTCCTTGAATTAGAAGTATGCTATTATTTTTTATTCTTTTTACAGACTTTGGTTCTATCATGGCTGATATAAGCTTTTGTAATACAAAAGGTGACACTTTTTTATTTCACCCTCTAATGATTCTTTGACTATGAAAATTGGCAATTGTTTTTTTTTTCCTGATATTTCATTGCCACTTTCTGTTTCAAAGTTTTCATATTATCTCTTGGTTCATTTATAAGAGTTAGCTATATAATTTTGCATTTGCCTTCTGTGCTCTCCACCTCTCTCAGTGTTCTTTCTTAATGAACGCTAGCGGGGGACTAATCCCATTCGCTCCGGTTCGACAGGGTTACACAAACGGTATAGTTGTGCTGAAAATGGATACAAGCACCCGCATTTCCCCACCATATCTACCCAATATAGTATGGTGTAAGGATTTGCATCCATTATCTTTCATCCCAACTAGCCCTTGCCACTATGTGACTAGCCAATTGAACTGGATTGGGTTAGTCCATCCACCCGTCTATCCAAAATGATGTGTTGTGGAAACTCCTGGGCATTTTACACCAGATCAGTAGTCACTCAGTCACAAGGACTGTCCCCTGGCATCACAGGCCACCACCCATGGCAAGCAATTGGCCCCATTCAGGGGAATTTGTAGTTTTTGGGAATTGGTTTTGTGTTTGTGCATTTTATATATAGCAGTTTTAGAGGTATTTTGTATGGACCAGTAGTTTAGGCATAGTACTTTGTGTAGACAGCTTGTGGATTGATTTTTTTATTACTTTTTTAAATGTGTATTTTTAATTTCAATAGATTGTTTGAAAAGAGAAACTGTATTCCTCTTCTGAAGGCACCATCCTAGCTATAAACAGATAGTTTGTAAGTTCATCATATAAGCTGACAGCATTTAGGTGAAGTTTTCTTTGTATGAACAATTAGATTCTAATCCATCTTGTTTACTCTACTATGCCTGGTAATATTTTAATGTACTAAACGTGACGTGAGGGAAATTGTTTTGTAAAAAACACAAATTGCAGTTTAGCTAATTTCCTTGGGAGTAATAGTAATTTCTTTTACAAAAATGTATTATATTTGTAATTGTTATTTTTTTAAATGCATTGCTGGTAACTTTTTAATCTAGAAAATGTATTTCTGAAACCTTAACTACATGTGTTTCTACCCTTTCGTAGAGTTTTGGCCCCAGATTGGGAGTAAACTATTTTCTCATAGCCGAAACACTAACAGATGCTACTGCCACAGGTCAGGGCGAACCTGAGAACAACAGCAAATAAGAGGTGGTACCACACTCCTCAAAATCTCTCAATGAGAGGCCTTGCTACCAGATATAGTTTATTGTCATACCCAGGATGGGGTCTATTTGATAGGTTAGTTACAAGTGATCAACAGTGAAGCCCAAGTGAAAGCCAAGATTTCATATGCTGATTTTCAGAGCAGGCAGGACTTTTCTACTTTGAAGACTGACACAACAAAATCTTCTTTGCATCTGTCTACTGGACTAAGTTTAGTAACGATCAATCATACTTACACTTGAAGTTCCATTTGAATTAACCTTTGGGTCAGTTTTTGCTTTTGCAATGTCAAACTTCTTTTGAACCTCCTTGCGGAAAACATCCACATTTGCATAATAGAGCGGAGAGGCAAAAGCAATCACACTGATTCCTGGAGTTATAGACACCTGAAAACACAGACAAACCAGAGTTAATGGTTGAAATCTGTTCCAATGAATTCATCAAGACTCGGTGCCTTCTGCACTCCCTCAAAAAGAAAGAATGTAACAGAAATTATAAAGAAGCAGTTTCATTGACACACACATATATATATATATATATATATATATATATATATATATATATAGATAATATTAGTGGAAAATATACATACATATGAAAAATATATCTAAAAAATTCCCATACATGTATATTTTCGGAAAAAATTTTTCCAAGAGGAAGGATCCAGGTAGAACTCAATGTCTAGGACAGAGTAAGGATATAATAAAAAGGCTTAAACACTAATATTCCATGGTCATAATTTATTCCATTGGAATCGTAAATACGATCCAAATCATCAGACCTACAAATTCAAAATGAAAACAGAAAAAAAACAACTCCGAAATCAAAACAGAATTTAGAGAAAGTGTAAGTATGAGGATGAGTGACAGAGAGAATTTTGGAGATGTGGGTGGGGTGGATTTAAAAGAGGAGAGAAAGAAAGTCGACGGATGTCTAATACATAAAGATACATTTATATGGTGACATATACACACCACAGACAATTCGGATAGGAAGGGAAAAAAAAAAAAAAAACCGGAAAGGGTGGGGGAGAGGGATGGGACGAAGGAAAATAAAATTGTGTTTACTTTATATATATATGCAGAATTATGCAAACTCATAGGCACATACATCTATATAGTAAATGTAAATGTCAATGTGTCAGACTTTTTCAATTAAAGGGACACAACTCTCTAACTTTCAATAGCTCATGTTACAAACATTTTGAATTCCCAATTTTTATTATTATTATTATTTTCAGTGATTTTTAAATGATATTTTGTGCCAAAGTTTTTGTACGATAACAATTTTTTTAACTTGGAAATAAATTTGGGAGTAATTAATTGTGAAATCCAGCAAAATTCACCAATTAAATAAAAATAATTGTTTGTAGGGAAAGTAAGGACTTATGCACATCATATTGTCTTTAAATTAAGTGTCAACAGAAGAATTCTCATTGAAATTTTAAAAGGTATGCTTAAATATCAATGCAATACTTAAATGCACTGATTAATTTTGAGTTATTCTGTTTATTATTGCTTATCACATACGACATCAGTATGCCTTGCGAAAAAATCTCCATGAACAGAAGACGAGATTGCAATCAAAAGAGCCAAGACTGCAGTGAGGAAAAGAAAGTTCTGTGCAAATGAAAACTCAGATTAAACGTTAGCCAGGAGAGTTTCCAGTACTGAGAATATACAAAGACTTAAGGACTCTCAAACTCCTGAACAAGCTAAAGGCCCAATCAAGAGCCATCTGCAGGAGCTAGCTTAAATGCTTTCTGATAGATCATCTTTTAAGCTAGTAATCAATAAATTAACAAATATTAACAAAAAAAAGACATGTCTATAGAGGAATGACAGTCTATTAATTCTAAGAAACTGCAAGGGCAGAACTACAAAAAAAATAAGAAATAATAAAAAACTTCCATACCCTAAGATTTACAATTGATATAAAATACAATCAAAAAATAGTAATTTTCTTAGATATAACATTCAATCTAAACAACAGAACCTATAAACCACACAGAAAACAAAACCACACCCCAATATACAATAACAAAAATTCCAGCCAACTCGCTAATATATTCAAACAAATACCCATATCTAATAATAAATAATTTCAACAAATTCTAGTAGCCTAAAAATATTCAATGAAAATAAAAAAACAAATGAATCAGCCCTGAGAAACAGTGGATATTCAAACAAACTTGAATACAAAAACGAAAACAATTCAAGCAAAAAGAACATGAAGAAACATAATTTGGTTCAATTCCCACCCTACAACAATATTTAATTTTAAAAACCAAAGTAAACTCTTAAACCAGAAAACTGAAATAATGGTTAAATGTAAGCATACAAATAAATACTTACTTTGCCATCTAAGTACTAATTAAAAAGAAACAAATAAATATAAATAAACTAAACATAAACTTTAAATAAATAACTTAAAAAGTTAATTTATGAATAAATTAATAAACAAATATTAAATATACACACCTATGTGTGTGTGCATATATATATATATACACACACACACACACACACACACAAACACCTACAAATGAACAAACCTAACCCCAATAATTAGTACCTCAATATATAACACCAAGGCAAAAAAAACAAAAAAAACTATGAACCATTAAATAAAAATGAAGCATTACATAAACGATAACATAGGATATAAGCAAACACTTACTTTAATATATATATATATATATATAAATACATACACACACACACACACACACATATATATATATATGTATATAAATAAAAAGAAAGAACAGTAAGATATAAAATCCGGTGTTCTTATAGATATTTTTATTTTTACAAAATAGTGCTCAATGTAAATTTACAGAGCATTAATATTATAAATTAATATATTTAAAATATGTTTTCTTTTCACTACACAGTTCCAACCATGTTTCAAAAATAGAAGCTAAAAACCCCGAATTTAATTTTGCAATTAAATTAAAAGCATTAGTTCCATTTCATCTTCAAGCGAATTTTGGAGTAACTTTTAAAAATTACCGGGTTTTAAAGACACAGCTAAAATCACGTTTTAAATACAAGTTTAAAATATTTTCACTCTGTATGCAAAAAAATCAGTACTTATACATAAAGGTGAAGAATGGGTTAAGAATTCTTACGACCAATTTGACATCACAATGGGATCACTAGACTCAGCTGATTCTTCTGATCTCATTGGCCTTTTTATATTATACAACCTTACAGCGCACTATGAAATTAATACAAATGATATTGGTTTGTACAGAGACGATGGGCTTATGGTTATTAGAAACTCAACGAACTTCAAAATAGATAGAATTAGAAAGTTATTATATAAAGAATTTAAATATTTTAAACTTGTATTTAAAATTTTAAAATTGTAGTTAAAACGTATTCAAACATAAGCATCTTTTAAAAATTGTAGTTAAATAAAATGTATGCTAACCGAAACACCTCTATAATAAATGTACTACAGGCACTTGAATGAATCCAATAAAACACCTACTGAAAAATGAAATTATAACAAAAGCTAGATGATGTAAGGTAATGTATGACCCATTGTTCTTTGTACATAAATATGAAACTTCATTACTCAGGTTACATATATTTAAAATAAATAAATTAATTAATTAATTAATACATAAAGTTTACTAAATCTGAGAAATGACTTAGATAGTTTTGTAGTCTGTGCCATTTATATTACTTAAATAATATTTAAATATAATAGTTTAAAAACTGTAATTTACATATACTTTGATATGGAAAAATAATTTTACTTACTATGAGTAATTATCCTTCTGTTATAAACTAATATAGTCTATTAAAACTAACAATGAAAATATTTTAAAATTTTAAAGTGGTAATTTTAAAATTGTAATTAAAATTGTAGTTAAATAAAATGAATTCTAACCTGTTCTTTGTACATACATATGAAACTTTATTACTTAGGTTACATATATTTAAAATAAATAAATTAATTAATTAATAAATAAAGTTTACTAAATCTGAGAAATGACTTAGATAGTTTTGTAGTAAGTGCCATTAATATTACTTAAATAATATTTAAATATAAAAGTTTAAAAATTGTAATTTACATATACTTTGATATGGAAAAATAATTTTACTTACTATGAGTAATTTTCCTCTGTTATAAAGTAATATAGTCTATTAAAACTAACAATGAAAATATTTTAAAAGTTTAAAGTTGTAATTTTAAAATTGTAATTAAAATTGTAGTTAAATTGAATGAATTCTAACCTAAATTTCTTTTAAATAGTACTACACACACTAAAAAGAATCCAAAAAAAAAAACACCTATAGTAAAATAAAATTAATATGAAATGCCATAAGATGTAAGCTTTTGAATGACCCATGTCCTTTGTACTTACATGAGAAACATTATATTACTAGGTTTATATATAAAATAAAAGTTTACTAAATCAGTGAAATTAAGTTACCATTTTTGCCGTCATAGTCATAAATTTTAAAAAAAAAAAAAATGTAACCTCATATACATACTTAAACTTGATGTTAAAATAATCTTACATAATATAATGGATTCTAATACATTTAACTGTTCTTAAAAAGAATATAGTATAATAAAAATTAAAAAGGAGAATATTTCAAATCGGAGTTAAATAAAAAGTATTATGATCAAAAAACCCCCGAAAATCTTTAAATTTATAAAAGAAAAAAAAATGTGTTGAAATTTTTTTACCGTTAACAATGATTTTTTTTTTTTTTTTTAAATCCAGACGACATCCATTCAACTGATGTCAGGTTTCATTGTAAAATACATCCCTACCCCTTACCAAATTGTAGCTAATAACTGATACAATGATACTGACATAAGGAAAATCTAGACATCCCTTGTTCAATTTAAGTAGAATATTTTGTAACCATGGAAACGTGATTTTAGCTGTGTCTTTAAAACCCGGTAATTTTTAAAAGTTACTCCAAAATTCGCTTGAAGATGAAATGGAACTAATGCTTTTAATTTAATTGCAAAATTAAATTCGGGGTTTTTAGCTTCTATTTTTGAAACATGGTTGGAACTGTGTAGCGAAAAAAAAAACATATTTTAAATCAATTAATATATAATATATATATATATATATATATATATATATATATATATATACTACTTAACAATTACATATATATACATGTGCATGCATGAGTGAGCTGGAGTATATACTATATTTTAAATATTCACACAACAAATTTTATTAACATAACCAACCAAAATTAATACCCTAAAAACAGAAAAATAACTTCACCATTTAAGCACTAGTTTATTAATAACAAAGCACTGACATAAGTGTACATTTTTCTTAGGTATGCATGTTTATATGTGCACATACATATATCTATATACATGCATGCATGAATGTGTATGTGTGCGTATACATAGGTGTATAAATACAGACATAAGCACATAAATTTAAATAATATTCAATAAAAATTTAATTATAAATGTAACCACCTGCAATTAATACTTATGATATCACAAAACCAAATAAGAAAATGAAATAATAGCCTAGTGTAGATATATAAGTACGTGTATATAGGTGTCTGTCTGTGTGTATATATATATATATGTATGTATGTTTGTATAAGTAGATTTATCATTTAAACATTAATATCATCAGCATCATATATATATATATATATATATATATATATATATATATTATTTGGGAATGGGTAGGATAAAAAATGTACATACACACACAAATACTTGCATGTATGTAAGTATATATATTCCCCAGGTGTTATAAATACAGTGTTCAATGTTATGAAACATTGTATCCCATTTATATGGCTATTTTGCTCCTTGATAGATTTCTTAGTAACTTAAGTGATTATTAGAGTATGTGGTACTCCTCTTATATTACATTTTCTTAGAAAAACATAGCCATGCACATAATATTAGATATTAGTTGATAACACAATTATACTCACAAATACACACAGTAAAAAGAACCTTCAGATATTGGAGGTTATCTACATTAAAACATAGCAACCAACACTCAACAAATTTACATTTCAAACTAGTGTCAACACTATGTTGCATCAAAACATATGGTTTTATTATTAATATTTTGGCCTCTCGATCAGTATGACATCACATCTTGAGCTTATGAACTGCGTCTGCTATTACGCGACCGTTATCATCACATAGTAATCTTCTATGTCAACATCACAAAATATTATCTTTGATGGTGAATATCTTTGTTAAAATGTCTGTATAACCACTCTGAAGATGGCTTATGTGAGCCGAAAGCTTAGATCAAGGACCAACTTGAAAAAAATATCCAAATGTTGAACAATTTTTGTCTTTATTTTCACCCAAAATTAAAGCAAACATATGAACATTATAACAGCTCATGATGAGACATAACAGACATTCATTGTCTGTTATATTTAACAATATATGTTTTTATATATATATATATATATATATATATATATATGTTAACCTAAATTTCCTCTGTAAATAAACAATTTCTAAAAGTGCAATGAAGTTTAGGTTTTCATCTTTGGCAAGAAAAGAAACTGGTATTTTAAAATTCTGATGCAAAATAAGATGATTTTAATCATTTTAAACATCTTTCATCAAATACAAAACACAAAATTTTGCAAGAAACAATTGCTATTTACTTTGAAATTGTATCACAGGAAAAACAACTTACAATTTGATACATTAAGTAAATATATAAAATTTAAGATACTTTTGGATAAAATTATTGGTAGATTTTGATCAATGTACAAGTAAGAAGTATAAATATTTTTTCATCTATGTCAATTGCTCTACGAATAAAACATTGTGTATCTGTTACCATCATGAATATTTTCTGCATTATCACAATTGAGATTAATGCTCTTGTCTCATTGGTGCACAAATGAATAAATAATTTTCACAGAGAATGATGCTTCAAATGAAAGGAGCCACACTTGCACCTCTGCAACAATAACATCCTCTGCAAAGAACTAGTTTTCAGACAAATGTCTTAAGAAAATGCATGATGACTATGGTTGTATCTTAGTGAAAAAAAAAAATCAATTAAAAATGATACATACTCCTTTATACTTATTTTTGTCCAAAAATATCTCACTATTATCCATCACACCAAGAGATACAGCTTCAACTCTGTAAAAAACAAAAAACAGGAAAGAAAAGTGTCAATAATGCTAAATTTTAAAGACAAGACAAATTAATGCTAAGACAAGTGAAAAGTCAAAGCTTTCATAACTGAATGAGTAGAAAGATAAACAGATTTACTTTACATGTTTACCAATATTCTATAAGTCATGGGATAGAAATATACTTAGGAGGGCACAAAATTCAATTATCTTCAAAATTTACTCCTTCTTAAGTGTTATGTTCCTTATATGATCATAGCTTTCTATGGTATCTCATTCTTTTGCAAGAGGATATGGAAAAGTTCAAAGCCTGACTCACTTGCCAAAATCTGACCAAATATCAAAATGGTCAGGAAATGTTCTACCTATGTCTGATTCACCGCATCTGTCTTAAATCCTGATCACAGGCAATGCCTTTTTTCACTGTTTTCAAAGTAAAATGTCTTCAAATTCAACTAATTAACATACCATTTTTCACATTTCTGGTATTTAATGGAATTCAGAAATTTTGAATGGCAGAGAAGAAAAAAATTTAAATTAAAATTAGTTGATTGTTTCTGAATCTATTGTTCCTGGATAATATTTTGACTTTTCTTATCACTATCCAGAGATATTATCACTATCAGTTTTCTTCTTTGTTAACAAGGTAATTATTTCTGTTTATAGAGGAAGATTTAGATAATGACATACCACATATTTTAAAAAAAATTTTAGCCCAATTTTCTTTTAGTAAGTTTCAATATGTAATCAATATGTAATGCATTGAATAATCAGAGAAAAAGAGATTCCATATGGTTAAGAGTTAATGAAAATATCTTTAAGAGACTGAAGCTATAATATTTAATTGGCTTCCCACATGAAAGTGAAGAGCTAAACATAGAGTGTGCTTGTCAAATGACAATTGTTTGTTAATCATCATATTTTCTCTGTTTTATACCTTCTATCAAGTCTAGATTGAAAACAGAGAACAAAAGAATTGTATATGGTCAAAAAAGTGGTTCTGTGTTTTTATTTACATAAATTTACTTCTTACTTTAGAAAGAGATGAAAATTCCACTCTCCAAAATAATGTATTTCTATCTTATCTTTTGCTATTTGTTGATTCAGCCACATTTGCTCACACATACTGGACATCCACTTTCATGTATGTCTCATATTTAACCTCAAAACAGCTAATTTAACAAGCTGGCATTTCCTGATGACTGCAGCTGTTACTTATCAATGAATCTACTGAATAATCATATCACTTTTTTAATAAATGATATCACTGTATTACAATTACAGAAATCATTATAAGTAACTTTTATTGAAGATTTTATTTACATGAGTGACTAATTTCTTTTTTTTTTTACTTACTTTTGAGTACGTATAAGAATTGTGATGATTCCAATTACAATGCCAATTATCAGGCCCAATTCCAATGTTGTTAAGATAACAGAAATGAATGTGAAAATCCAGATAACCTAAAAATTTGAAGAAAATCAAAGAAAAGAAATTACTTTTTCAGATAAGCTCTTGTTTTGAGAACTGGACCAGAAAGAATTAATTGCAAAAGTAAGAACATCAAACAAAAAGAAATTTTTTTTTCAATATTTTTCACTCAGATATTTATAGAAGACATGATAACATGATTAGCATGATATATAAAAAAATTTAATTCACTTTAATGATTTAGATGATGTAGCAACAAGGCAAATTGTAACAATAGGGGAAAAATGAAAGAATAATTACATTGCATTTTAGTACTGATTACAAGCTTAAAAACATTTAGGGTCATTTGTTATCTATCCTCCATATCCTCATAATCTTCATTTCCTCCTCTTATATCAAGTCATTATTCTAAACAAACCAAGTTTGGATAATTCAACATAAAATTTTAACTAATATGGAACAAAAGCTAAGTGGATTAAAGCATTAGTTAATGTATTTGGTGACAAAATAATTGTGAGTTCAATCCCTGTACTGAGCAGTGAGCATTTGGACACAGTGGAAACAGTGTCCAAATGCACAGTCTTAAAAGTAAAAACTAGATGAGATATTACAAGACATAGTAAATGGAATGAAAATAGTCTACCTCTTTAATAAATTAAATAAAGGGTTCATTTTGGAATTCCCTGTAGGTTACCCAGATCAACAGCTATCTGATGAAGGCTAGAGGGCACAATGATCAAAAAGTTGAAGACAATAGTCTGAATGTAAATAATGATAACTCTTCATACTAGAAATTCAGACAAAAATAGAATTTTAGACTAATCTGACAAAGCCACTAAAATAATTTTCTGATAGCTGAAAAATGGCTTATGCAATATGTTATAATATATATATAGAATATATATTTTTTAGCTGGTGGAATATATATAAAATTATATTGCTTAAAATTTGCTATTTTTATGAGAGAATAGTCCTTAATATAGAAATTAGTATTGGCTGTTTCATATTTAGGGCTAATGTTTTTATAATATTTATAATTATTGGACTAACAGAAAATCCCTGTAAACAGAAAATCTATTCACACAAAAACTCATTTTCAAACAAAAAAGTATGCACATAGCACAACACTTTCAAAATACATATGAAACTTCAAAAACACACCCAAAAATGTTATGCAATATTCATGACCTGAAACTAATAAAATTTGTATAAAAACAAATGAACTCAGAACTGAATATACTATACAAAAATAAAATTAAGTAAAATAATATATAAATAAAAGCTAAAATACAAATACAGATAAAGATTTAAAAAATAAAATCAAAACAACTAAATGCAAAATCTTAACCATCTTAACACATTAGCTCTAAACAAGAAAACTTGAAAAAATCAGTTTTACTCCTTGCTGTACCCATCTCATAAGCTATCCATTAGTAGCTTATATATAAAACCTACCCAAAATCACTTAAGGTAAAAAATGACAAGTTACAATAGTGTTGATTTCTATGTCCACATTGTTCATATTAAGATTATATATAAAATATATTTATTATATGTATTAAATAAAAAATAATAATATAAATTATGTATTTACAAGTTAGTTTTATATTGATTTTCAGTCATACAGCTAAGAAATTATCAATCAGAATTGTGAGACTTCATTTACTGCTTGGTTAAACATATCTAATCCATATAAACTTGACAACAATTGCAATATTTCCTCCTTGTCCTCCTCTTCCAAATTTGTAAAATCTTTGAAGACTTACACAATCATATTTGCATATTTTCCACAACCTACGCAGTTTTAAAACTTCCTTCAGCATTGAACGTAAGGAAACTAAGATGACAGAAGAAAGCACACACTGAAATGAGAAAAAATATGTAAGCATTAAAACAATTTCTTTTACATATTTATATATTTATATGGAAACTTTGATAAAAAAACATGGTTGGAATGGTTGAAAGGAAAATGAATGACAAACATGCTTTGTTCTCTGAGAGACTTTTATATCACTAAGACATACACAAAACTATTAGGTTGGTGCAAAAATAATGTCGTTTTCTCACATATGTTACTTTTATATATGATTTCTGAATTAATTCATTGATATATATAGCCATGTTATATATCATTTTGAAGCACGTTTTTTGCTCTATCGAATCGTGTTATTCGTTACCGTTCTCAATCTCTTCATTCATTTTTTGCAGGCTTTTCGACAGGCATGGACAAAATTCAAATCCGCACGATTTTTTTTGTTCCAGTTCAAACTAGGCCGAAAAGCTGCCGAGACAGCTCATGATATCAATGATGTGTTTGGCCCAGGAACCACTAACGATTATGTGGCACAACGGTGGTTCAAGAAATTTCGCAATGGTGACGAGAGCCTCGAAGATGAAGACGGTCATGGCCAGCCGACTGCGGTTGATAATGAACATTTGAAAGCCTTAATTGAAGCCGATCCTCACAAAATCACACGAGAAGTTGCTGTTGAACTCGAGGTCGACCACTCAACAGTCGTTCACCATTTAAAGCAAATAGGGAAGTCAAAAAAGTTGGATAAATGGGTGCCGCATGAATTGAACGATAATCAAAAAAATCATCGTTTTGAGGTGTCTTCTACGCTCCTTCTGCGACCTATTTCTCGAGCGGATTGTGACGTGTGATGAGAAGTGGATCCTCTACGATAACCGGCGACATTCGGCACAGTGGTTGGATGCCAGAGAAGCTCCACAACACTTACCGAAGTCAAAATTGCACCAAAAAAAGGTTATGGTGACTGTTTGGTGGTCTGTGGCCAGTCTCATCTATCACAGCTTCTTGAATCCGGGCGAAACGATTATGTCGGAGAAGTACTGCCGAAAAATTGACGAAATGCACCAGAAGCTCCAACGTATGTGCCCGAGATTGGTCAATATGAAGGGACCAATTCTCCTCCATGACAGCGCTCGCCCGCATGTTGCTCAACTGAACCTGCAGAAGCTGAACAAATTGGGCTACAAGACTCTGCCTCATCCGCCATATTCACTGGACCTCTCGCCCACCAATTATCACTTTTTCAAGCATCTCAACAACTTCCTGCGCAAAAAATGCTTCAAAAGCCGAGATGATGCCGAATCGGCCTTCAATGACTTCATCGCTTCCAGAACTCCAGATTTCTATGCTAATGGGATAAATAAACTTGTTTCTTGTTGGCAAAAATGTGTCGATTCTAATGGTTCTTATTTCGATTAATAAAGTTTATTATGAAAGGAGTTATGATCTTTTGAAGTTGAACATCAAAAAACGACATTATTTTTGCACCAACCTAATATATATACATATATACAAGTGTCCCATAATAATATATCACAGCTAAGCAGAATGTAAGTAGAAACAAAATGGAAGGGTCTTATATATTTGGAGAAGCCATGTTTAAGATTCCAGATTCAAATGGGATGGATTCATCTATGTTCCAGGCGAGGACATATACCATGAACAGGAAACAGTGAGTCTTGGGTTTTCCCAGATTGAGGTTTGCACGCTGAAGTTTCATTCTATATCCGGGAAAGATATATTCCCAAAGGAAAATGGCACAATGGACTTGTAAGCTGCTGGGGAGGCAGATTTAGCCTCTGCCCAAGTTATGGTAGACCCTAAGTTAAAGAAAGCAAACTTACAGTTTGGCTGCTGTCAACAAACTGAATTTTGACTGCTGCTATTGTCACTATATGGAGTGACATCAATAAGCAGCCATCTTGTGAGCCTTGTGACGTATCTCCACCAAAGGGAGTTAAGCACCTTCTGTATCCCTACATTGTAATCATTAAAAATTACAAATGAAACAACAATAAAAATAACATGAACAAGAGGGTCAAACTTTGAAACTTTTCAAATAAGATGATAAGTCACTTACCAGTGTATCAAATATGCATCTATCTGAGCACTATGTACATATATTAACACTGTAGACTCCTCTGTGGAGTATAGCATGACAATTTCCCCCTGCTAGATGTTGCTGCAGTGATTTAATTAGCATGTAGGTTTTCTTTTCTCATAATTGCAATAATGCTTAGTGATTTTCTCTATAAATGAAGAAAAAACTTTTAATGAAAGAAGCCTTGGGTATATCACAACTGGTATTTGTAATTCAAATGAGGTAAAATTTAATTTGAAGACCGACTATGATATAATAGTCTTTCAACAAACCAAAATGATGAAAATACTGAAACCGTTCACCATTCAATAAAGATCATAGTCGACCCAATGATGATATAGATGTGGTGATAGGTCTGCAATGAAGTTCATGCCAGTGAATATTAACAGAAAATATGAAAAAGAAATCCATTTCTGCAAAATTCAACCTTCAGCATCAAAGTTTGGGGCCAAAAACAACATGACCATTGTCCTCTTCCCTATTCACCTCACCTTGTTCCATGTAATTTGTTTTTGTGCCTTTGTATGAAATGCACCTGAAGTGGAAATGATTGGCTGATGTTAACAATGTGCAAAGAAACAAAAAACAATATCCACACTGAAAAATTTCAGAACTGAAGACTCAACTTGTACTTAATGGTTCCTCTTTGACAATATCTATCTCGTTTTTTGTTTATTATATATATATATGTATGTGTGTATATATATATATATGTTTCATTAAAGACAATTAAGAAAATACTGAAATTAAGCTCTATTCAATTTTTCTTGTGTTTGTACAAGTGTTTTCTTTTCTGGCCATAAAATGTGTAAAAACTGTCAGAATGTGTTATATATCTAAGCATTTCTGTCTATTCTATTATCTATTATGTGTTTTTACATGGATCTGGAGTGATAAGAATTTTTTTTTATTATTTTCCAAACACAGTCAGCACATCATGTCCATGTTCACAGTTAATGTTATTGAGTGTTGGCTTTTTCTTTTTATTATTAATGCTTCCACTATTTTTATCCTTTTTTACATGTGAATGAGACTATTATATTTATATTTTCTAAGAGTATGTTTCAAGTAGTATTTGTTAGATTTTCATGTGTTTAAACAAATTCTAATTGAGCTACAGTCAAAGAGATGAAACATGAGTCTTCATGACAGTCATGTAGTGGTATGACCAATTATTCATAAATTTCATTTGACTAGGAATGCAATTCCTTAAAGGACATGTAAATTAATAAATGATATTGGTTGTCTGTGGATCTTGCAGGTGAGTTGTTGTTGACTATAAGGTTAGCTGTTTTAAATTTTTTAAATAGATAATCAATTTTCTTGTTCTGGTCAACTGGGGTTGTGAATTTCCTTATAATGTTTCTAAGGGAAAATCTTGCTTATAGTTAATATGTACTTGATTTTTATAGAAAATGTTAATGTTTTTATGTTCAGTCTTGCTATTGATTACCTTAGAAAGAAATAGTAGAAATGGATTAGCATATTTTTGTCAATGTAATCCATTCCACTCAGTGAAACTTAAGCCAGGTTTGGTTTAGCAGAAGCTAATTTACATGAGCTCACAGACCTCATCCACTTTTTTTCTTCTGCAAAAGCAGATGTGACACAAAAGCATTTTGGCCTTTGGTGTATCTCACCATTTTCTTCTGTACATAAAGACAGAGTTTTTTCAAAAGTATTTTTGAGATTATCAATTTCCTTTTTATCTTTGGTTAAATTAAAAATATCTACATAGCAGGCACATATTTTTTTAACATTTTAAATACCTAGTTTCTGACATGAAACATGATAATTAAAGAAGCACGGTCCAAATGGATTTCCTATAGTAATGCTTAATTTGAGTATAGATATTGCCATTATGCTCATAGAAGGGGATTTATATATATATATATATATATGTGTGTGTGTGTGTGTGTGGACATTGGGGTCAACATCCAGTGGCAACAGTCATGCTTAAATGCAATCCTCAATGTGTTATGTTTTAGCTTGACTATATATGCTGGTCAATGGTACATTATGGGTAGGTCTATTGTATTATTCTGACAATTATTGGGTGGGTGCTAATGGTTATGTTTCAAATTATTCTAGGGCTGAAACAATTGTGGATCCAAATACAGTTTTGTGGCTATTTCATAGCACGTTGTTTGTTAACTTTTTTCATTCATTATTTATTATTAATTACTTTATTATTTGTTTTTGATTGTTATTACATTTACTTGTGTTTATGTGTGCATTTTTAATCTGTCAATTTGTTTATTATTTACTTAATTTGTTTACTTATTTATTGTTTAGGGTTATTTTATATTACTTTTTTTTTTGTTTGATTTTAGTTTTCAGTTTTTAAGTAAGTTTGTGAAAATATTTATTGGTCTGGAAAGATGATTATGCTTTGTGGGGATCCAAATTAGAGATGACAACAGAAACCATGGAAGGAGTTTTTTCTGCATATCACTCAACAAAGACTCAGTTCTAAATGGAAAAGAAAGGATACCCCCAGATGAGTCAAGAGTAGAGTTTGAAGAGAATTTATGGGCAAAACATTCAGCTTTATCAGCAGAAGATGTTAATACCTCAAACTGAGTGAAGAGAAAACTTACTCTTATTTAAGACACTATTACAGAGCTGCCAGTAGTCACAAGAGCCAATGTTGTTAAAGGCAATACAGTGACTCCTTCTATCAGCAAAGACTTAGCACCAAATTTGAACTATCATACTGTTATAGCAGGGAAAAGGGATTCCTATGGGCTACAGAGGCTGAACAGGCCAGTTTGAACCATTGAGAAGATTGCAGTTTCACCTGGTATTTCTGAGAAGATACAAAAGCATTGATGCTGGCTTTGAGCTGAAAAAAAACTCACTGACACAATTCTCAACAGGGAGGTTAAGAATATCAATCCAAGAAGCATTTGAAAGAAAGTCACAAAGTGAATCCTAATCAGCATGCTGCTAATGGAAGGAAGTCTTGCAAATAGGAAGTTATGGGTTTGGATATATAGCCTAGCCAATTTCATTTACTTTCTTTTCCTTTATATTTTTTATCACTTGTGTTATTAAGTATCCCATATGCCAAGAAAGATAAAATGCAAAAGGCTGGATGCAAATTTACTGTAGATGATCTAGTGATTAAAGCACTTTCTATAGACTTTCATTTTAGTAAACTAACTTCTCTTTTAATTAAAGTATGGTCAACTCAATATATCAATATATCTCCACAAAACTACATTACTTGACCATGTCGATAAAATAAAAGTCAAACATATGATGGAATTTACTTACTTTCTTAGATATCATATTACACCTAAAACTATGTGTATTTCACAATAACCTAAAACTAAGTGCCCATCAGAAATAAACTAATAAAAATGATATCATAAATTTTGATTCTTACCATAACAATAAAATACAATCCAGAATAATCATTGGATTCTATTTAATCGCACTCAGAATTTGTAGACTTCAATATTTATATGAAGAGGAGAAATATATTGAAAATACTTTTAAGCTCCTCCAATACCCTAATTATTTCATATTCAGCAAAAGGCTCATAAAATATTTCAAAATAGAAGAGATGACCATTCTGACAAACACAATGAATAAAATCTATTATTCTACACACCTCAAAATATGTTATTCTACACACCTCAAAATATGTTATTCTACACACCCACAACTACAATTGAAAACAATTTATCTAAGCTTAACATATAATTTGTTACAATTACTTCTAAAACAATAAAAGACTTAAGACTAAACAAAAAAATAATAAGCTAAAACTTTAATGAGAAATTTACTCTATCATCTGTAATAATTTCCACAAGGAATACTTAGGAGAAACTTTGAGAAAATTAAATAAATGATTATATGAACACAAAAGTGATCTTTAACAAAACAGCACATTGAATGCATTGGTTGCCCACTTCAACAAGACTGACCACAGTTTTAATTTGGGAAAAGCTACTCTAATTGAAAGAGAAAACAGTTTGCTGGTACAAAAATGTTTAGAAAGTGCTTTAATCGCTAGTAAATTTGCCATCTAGGTTCTTAGAACATTTCACCATTCTGGGCAGATCTTCTATTATCACAATGTGGGATAATTAATAACAAAAGTGATAAAAAATATAAAGAAAAAGAAACTAAATGAAACTGGCAAGAAACATTAAAAAAATATTTTTAATTTAAAAGTTCATGTGCATATGTAGTTGCATCAATGTAAACATCACATGAAAATTTTTCCCACTTTGTCATTAATTTTCTTTATATATATATATATATATATATATATATATATATATATATATATATATACACACACACAGTTCTCACCCCATTCAAGAAACTCTTAATTACAAAAGTAAATAAAAAAATTCAGTTCTGATGGACATTTGGTCAGATTTTGGTACATGTATTTGACTGTGAACTTTTCATCACCCCTCCACATAAGCTAGGCAGCAATTTCTATTATACTAATTTGGTTAAAAATAATATCTAACACTTTCTCTCACTTTTTTTTAAACTGAATGTATTTATTATTTATTGAGCACATAGAATATTCTGCTATTTCTAATTTAGTAGGAGGGATTAAATCAATCTTTTACATTAGCTTTGATTTAAATCTTCTACAATGGTGACCCAAAAAGAGGACTTTGCAGCATGTTTAAAAAAATGAAAGGGTCACTAGCATAAGTGTGGGAAATCTTCTTTTCTTAAAATACTTAAAAATTAACTCAAAAAATCAGCCATTATCTCTGTGCTGTTTTCTTTTTAATTTGTTTTTATATAATTATTTCTGTTTTCTTTTTAATTTTATTTTTATATAATTATTCACACTCACATTTGGTAGAGATTCAAACAATGGTCCAGCAACAAGTATAATCAGCAAAACAAACAAAGCTCCAGCCAGACTGGCAACCTAAAAACAACAAAAACTTCAATAATTATTATTTCATTCAGGTGTGCCCACAGATTATGGTAAAATTAAAGCCTTCATATACCCATTAAACATAATTAAAATAATTATTTTCAAATTAGCACAATTTCAATATTTCTCAGTATTATAGATATGGTTAATTTTTTTTTTTTTTTGATTATTGTTTGTCAAACAATAAAATATTTGAAATGTTAATGAACTTACTTGAGTCTTTCCTCCACTTCCAACCTGAACACTAGTTCTGGAAACAGCTCCTGCTGCTGTGTAGCAATTAAAAAAAGGACTAAATACACTAGCAGTCCCATATGCTATCAGTTCCTGGAAAGAAAATTGAATAATTTCATGTAAGTTCTTACATACAAGATTAGTTAAGGTTTAAGATGATTATACTGCATAGATATAGAATAAAATAAAACAGGAGGTGATATGTCCCGGAAAGAGATATATATTGTTCGAAGTAGCAAAGTGGTTTTAGACTACTGTAACCGAGTAGGACAATCTAGCAGGTAACCATAATGGACTGTTCCTCATTGTAGTGGTAGGCAATAGGCGTAGGCTATAGGCATAGCCAATAGGTGTCATCCTGTAACTCCACATCAGTCTGTATTTATGGCTGACACCAGCCAATGATATTACTGTGAGGGGGAACCCAGGTGTATGCATATTCATTACATCAGGAGGCATTAAGTAGAACCTATACCAATTAATTTCTTTCAATTAATTCTTGGATTATAATTAACTAGAATTTTTTTGCAACACACTTTTTTTTGCATGTTGAAATCCTTACAGTATTTATTATTGTTGAATTTATTGCTAACATTTTTTGTCAAGATTTACAAACTCTACATTTCGTTCAATTTCACAAACCAATCAAGGGAGTAGCGCGGTGCGCTACGAGCCTGGGTGGGATATATGGAGAACTAGGGCTGCCCAGACGTCTAGTTCCCCCTCTCGGCCTTGCTATCAGAGTCCAAAGGAGGGGATAAACCAATACAGTTTGGTACCAATGCGGCTGCAGGAGTTGCCGGAAGGTAGCACAAAGTGCCGTCCATCTGCCTTAGGGGCTCCACTCCAGGTTTGAATTCAGAGTTGTCCTTCTCCTAGACCAGTTGCCATCCAAGGCTATAGAACCCAGTCTGTCCTGCTATTTACCCATAGCTGGAGGGAGAAGAAGAGAATTCACACCTTTCCAAGGATATTAGCACGTAAGTGAATGTAATGGATTCGACTTGGATTCAAAATTGGCTCTCCAATTCCTCAATCCAAGCTGCTATCCATTACTCCACCATGCCACCTCATATATATATTACTTATCAGCTGTCAATATAACTCATAACACCCTTGAGTGCTTTGCCTTGAAGCAGGTAGAGTGGAGATCAATGTTTTAGAGAACTCAACAGTTTTCAATCTGCTAGTCTGAATTGTCTTCAAGAAGCGAGAGTAAGATGTAAAATGTCAACCAATCTAACAGTGATCTAATCCTACAATGCTTACTCTTGCTCCATATACGTCCTCCTTTGTAAATCACTAGTGAGTCTTAAGTGCCACTTAAGATTATCGCACAAAATTCATAACTGAATTGGTTAAGTTGCCAGATCCACATACATTGAAAACGACAGGAGAGTCCATTATATGTATACACACAACTTTTTTATGTAATCCTTAAATTAACTAATTTTCCTTCAGCCCTATATTTCTATAATGTTTACCTTGTTTTTTAATGATTTTTTAATTACAAAATTTTTTCCTGTCAGCAGACATCAATCATGCCAAAAGTGAAGTTAATTTGGATGACAAAATTTCAAATAAAAATTACTTTTGAATATGCAATATTAATTTTGAAATTTTTTGCAATTAACTTTGTACTATAGTCTTGCACTTAAAATCAGAATTAAAATTTCAAAGAAGATATTTAAATTATTGCAATACATTTTTAAATTTTAAGAAGTTAATTGCCCTTGTTCTCATTCACAGATTCTTTTCTCTGCCTCAAAATATGGACTGAAAATGGAGTAAAGTGAAAGTACAGGTGAATTCATGCTGTTCTCAAAAGCAACTTAAAGTGACATCAAATATGTGTGACCAAAATACAAGCCTGATTATCCAATTACATTTTCAACTTAATAAACATCACATTAATTCACATTTCCTCAGTGGGTACTAAACAAAAAGAGCAACAAGATGTTGTCTATTAGGGTTGCACTGATTAATCGGCTCACCATCAGTAATTTACCATATCAGCATTTGTTGATATAGTCATCACCTTATTTTTTTGTCGGGGGAACACAGTCAACCTTGTTTTATATAGCACAGAAATTTAATCTCTAGCTAAAGATTCATCAGTTATCTTGAATAGACAATGAATTTAAATAATATTCTGATACTTTTTCATTATTTTTTTCACAATATTTGAGGATAATTAAATTACTAGTTATCAACTGATTAGTCAGTCCAACTGTACCTACTATAGCAACGTGTTTTGGAATGAAATTCAGCAAAAAGATAGTAATGATTTACCATTAAGATTTATAACAACAACTAACATAAATAACAAAGTGATACAAATACTGACCAAAGGAACTCATTAATATTATAAATATGTATAATAGTAATAAATAACACTATCTATAAGTTTGAGAAAAGTCATTATCATTACAAGACTGGTTTAGATGACTTTGTGTTGTTTCAGTTCTTACCACATTTTGGTTGATAGATTCTGCAGACTTCTTCAAAAATACAAATAGATCATTTTTCTTCAGATGTTCATGATGAAAGTAATAATTAATGTTAGAATCAGGGTGGCCAGATTATGTATGTATGCTACTTTTGAAAGTCAGAGCACTATAATATTTGAAATATTGCTTCTTACATCTTGCACAGTGTAAGCAATCTGGGATTGCAAAGGAAATGTTTGTCGCAGATTATTTCCACGTCACAGAGAATAAATCACTAAGTTCAGACTTGAACATCGGGGACAGAAAGAAAATGACAAAAACTCGATTTGCAAGTACTATTTCACAAATCATAATGCACACAACCAGTCAGAAAATTAACTCACTCTCTAACAAACGTGGCAGCCAAAATAGCCAACTTTTCTCTGCCGATTCGAGAACACCAACTGCTTTTATCAGCCGAGCATTTTTTCCATTCGTCAACAGCTGGGAGAGGATGTTTAGTATTTTGCATATCAAAATACTTTTATAGCAACTCCTGCAATGAACTTGTTTTTTAATTTAAATGTTCCATCTTCAGCATGTCATGCAGAATACGTGCCCTTTTGTTTGGTAAGTAATTTTCTTTTTCGCCACATTTTCCGTTGTAGAATACACACGACGCGCTGTCGCTTGGTTTGACGAGGTAAGTCACCATTTTCTTCGCTATACACAGATACTTTTTGTAAAAAAAATAAGCTGGGTTAACTTGGTCTACTAAGTGGAAGAAAGTCAATTCCAAATTTACTCACACTATGTCCAAGTATAATATCTGTGGTCAGAGATTACATCCTCATTTTCAGCTGTTATGTTTCAAGAAGTCTCACCTTAGCATGGTACCATTTATTTTCTTGCAGCCAAATTAAATTTGTATTGTCAAGCTATTGTAAAATTAGAAGACTGTTTGCCATAGGAGATGTAGCTTTTTTTCTAATTCTAAAATTAAAAAGTTATGTGCATTTTATGAAGAACATCCAACATTTTGACCAAAATTATTTCATTGTGATCTTCTGACAACAAATATTGTCTGTCTATGTGGCTGACCACATATGGTGAGAGAAGGGAGATCACTGCCCTCTGTGAGATCATGTTGAGATCATAGACAAGGAAAACCATTGGAAAATTCGTAAACTTAAGGAATCAGCACATATGCTAGGCCACAAAAATCTCCTGAGCCAACCAAGCATAGAAATAAATACAATATGGGAACCAGTAATAAGAAGTGCTAGAGAAAAGCAATGATAACAACAAAGTTGCAATATGAGCTCTGGTAAAAACATGCAATGATAACAGCAAAATTGCAATATAAGCACTGGTAAAAATGGTTGCTGAAGACATTAAGTTTATAATACCCAGAAATTCATACCCAGATGTCCACATGGCACAGTGGATAAAGGTGTTGGTTAGATCCAGTGATGGGAGTGTGAGTTCAATACCTGGTTAAGGCAGTGGAGAACTTTCGAGGGAAATTAACAGGAGATAACTGATAACTGACATGTGGAACTAGAGCAGTCTAGAGAAATAAAGGGTTCAGTTCGACATTCCAGCCACCTGAAGAAGGCCGGAGCGTACGGCGACTGAAACGTTGTAATAAATATGGCGACAAATAGCCCAAATAATGTAAATAATGAACAAATATTGTTTACTTCATTTTACCAATGTCAAGAAATCAAAAAAGTAAATGCAATACAGAATAATATAAACATTTATAAATTAAAATATCAATTTTGATTTTACTCTTCATAAGTGTTAAAATGAATAGCAAAACAAGGGAAAGCTTACCCTATTAGCATCAATTCTATAGCCTTGCTTCCGTGCCATGAGAATTGCAACAGACACTGACTGGGCAAAAGCCACAAGACCAATAACAATGCCCTCTCCAATATAGTCTTTAGCATAAGTAATATCAGGCACAAATGGTTTTGGTAAACTGGAAAACAAGTGAGAACAAAATATCATAAAGAACACTTGAATTTTCTATATTTCTCTATCACTGTCTCTCTCTTACACACACATGCACAAAAATGTATTTTCACAGTTTTAGTGAAATATTAACACCTAAGGTCAAAAATCCATTTCAATTATATGAAAAGGTAATTCAGGTTTCCTAATCTTTATACAAACAGAAAGAAAACTTTGAGAATATTCTGATATGAAAAATATTTTCAACCAAAATTTACAGATATTTGTGTTTGAAATCTTTTTCAATTGTTAAAAAATCAATTATGATGAATCAACAGAACTATTTTCAATTCATCCTAATTTGAACACCTGATACATCCACATTTTAAAAATCTACAGAAATTCAAGTAATTATTCAAATTTAGTAAAACTTTCTTTACTGATTACTTTGATGACTAAATATATTAAAGGCTGTCCTTGTAAATACATCTACTTATGAAATATTAGTAAAATGCTTCTCAATTATTAAGTTGTAAATATTTTAGAAGATCTATGAAATTAAAAAGCTCAATTTAAAAAGTTAAAATTATACCCTAAACTAGGAAATTTAAAACTGTAAAATAAAATATTTCTTTGTTTGGTAATTTTTATTTATTAAATTATATTATAAATAGATGGTATATAGAACAGAAAAAATATTCACCTGAAATTTTACATAAAGAAATTAAAAAATGTAATTTCTATACGGATCAACAAATATTACTTACCCAGCAGGTACTTTACCAACAACTCGAAAATTGTATTTATCTCCTAATTGTAAGAAATAAGATATAGGTGTAGCAATAACCACCTGAAGAAAAATAAAGAAATGTTTGTTACATTTCATCATAAAAATGAATATTTTCTTTTTGACAATAAAATAGAAAGACAAATTTAAACAAAAGAAAAAAAAAATAAATTCATTTAGGATAATGCTTTCTTATGTCATTCATACTGAATGTAATAATGAACATACGCAACAACAGAAATTCAACGCAAACCTTGTAAATCACATTTTGTTAAGATTTTCTCATTATTTTTGCTTCTGTAATAGGATCAAATTACAATCATCTTATCTCTAAGTTATAATATCTTGTCAAATAATGATATTGGAAAATTTTCCACAATTGTTACAGGACTTCCAACATCAGTTACAGTGACAAATGAATAATACTTGAATAAGCACTAGAAGTTTTAATAAGAAGAGCAGTATATGCATTGCTAACTCAACTCTTTAAATCAGGGTTTGCATACTGTAGCCCAGCAAGGTCAGACATTGACAACAAATTCTGATGGCTGTAGGTTTTCTGTTAGAGCTTCTTTCTCAACAGAACTCTGAATTGAGTTTAGGTACATAGGCTAAAGAAAAAGGTACAAATTTTTATTGTATGTAACTCTATGCATATTCATTAGTAGTTGTCCATATACATGACAGCCTATTTCATTGATAAAAAGAAGGAATGTCAGCCCTACTTCTTAACATATGGATAAATATGTGTACACTTACGAACAACAAATTTCACCTGATAAAACATTCATATCACCATTTAGCAAGGTGCAGCATCTTCTAAAATGAAATAAACTTCCAAATTCTGGATATTATTAGATCATTGCAAATGTTTGTACCCAATTAGAAAATTAAAAACAAAACATACTCACAAAAACATTTGTTAGTCAAGTATATAGTCTCCATTGTTCTTAACAACTGTCTCCTATCATTTAAAGAGCTTGTTCATGCCATTTTCATAGCAGCTTTGTGTTTTTTGTTAGAAGAAGGTTGTGAAGTAGTTCTCGACTGACTCTACAGAAACAAATTCTTTGTCATTTAAATTGTTCTGCAGAGAACAGAATAAATGAGGCTGAAATCTTGGAAATTAATTCTAAGCATAAAAATCTAAGAGACTCTACTCTCCAATCTCTTTAGTGATTTGAAATTCACCCAAAGGCTGATACATTTGACCATAGCAGAATGCCATGAAAGCACCTTCATGGGTAAGGGTTCAGCTAACTTTTGAAATGTTTAAAATGTTTATTGTAGATGTATGTTATTATTTATTTTTTTGTACTGTCTCAGAGTTTTTGTTATTATTATTGTTCCAGAATGTGAAGGGCAGGGCCAGAATGGTCAGCAATTGGCTGGAGTGCCTCATGGGCAGAGTATTTTGACAGTGATGGATTGCCTTTGTCTGGGTTTTGAATATAAGTCCAAAATGGCACAAATTCAACAAGAATCTTGAGAATTCTGAAACAGTGATATGCCACCTACACCCAAGTTTGCAAATGGCTAGTGCCTCCCACAGAAGGATGCTGGGTCAAAGTGTGACATGCTTTCCTGTAACATCAGTCCTCCTACTGCCTCTTAGAATCCAAGCTGCTACTCTTCATAAAATGAATACCAAAAATCACCCTTTTCATTGATACTATTTTATATAGTATCATAGGGATCCCAAGATGACACAAAACACAACATTATTAAGCCACCTGTTCAAATCTACTTGTTGCAATTGGAATTAAGATTTACTTTTTAATTTTTGAATAATTTAAAAAATATTTGCCCATAGCTATCTGAATTTATCGTATTTGCATTCTTACTGGTTATTTGGGTGCCAGACAAATCAGGTTCACAAAAAACACTTTAACTATCTTAAAATAAGTGTTGTAAAATCTGATGTGACAAGAGTAAATTAATTTCCCACACAAAATTTATAGCATGTGTGCAGAAATTTGTAACCAGAGTTATGCCCCCATGATATGGAACATTTCCTGAATGAGATTCTGACATAGCTTGATATAAAAAAAAAAAAAAAGCAAGAGCTCACTGACTTGGACACTGTATAAACTTTTGAACATACCAACTTGGGATAAACATCTATCAAACAGATCTTTCATACCAAAACACCCCATGTGGAAATATTACATGGTGCCAGAAGTCAAAACTGACAATAAAATAATGGGTATTATTCAAAACCCCCACACAGATGTCCTAGAAAGAAATGTTGAAAAAAATTACAGAAACTGGTTACAAAAATTTGAAGTGTACCTCGTGGGCTCAGAAAAAATTACAACGCCAGATAAAATGTACATTGTTCCTGCACATGGCTGGAGAAAAAGCAATAAAGGTAGACAATGCTATAACATTCAATGAAACAGAAAAGGGAAATTATAAGGCACTAGAGAGAAAACTCCAGAAATATGTACAAGACAAGAAAGATATAAGGCGATGAAAGGTATCAGTTTAACACAAGGACACAGCAAGAAGGAGAAACTTTCCTGTCATTTCTCACAGACATGCAAACACAAACAGGAAGATGTGAGTATGAGCATTTAAAAGACAGTATGATATGTGACCAGCTCTGTTTGCATCAAACATTGTAACAGCAATGAAATCACTGCAGAAACATGATCGTTTGTTCTGTTCTGTCAGAGAATGTAACACACGTGTCGAGTTTGGAAACCAACCCAAGTCTCTTCACATGGTGAAAGGCATTTGTGATATTGAATTTCAAACTCTTAGCAATCTCTTCCATCAAAATCTTTGGTTTATTCTCCACAATGGCAAGCAAAATTTCTTCATTGACACTGGAAAGTCACCTAGAGTATGATTAAGCATTTAGTTTAAAATCACTTTGATGAAATCTGCGAAGCCATTATTTGACCACTCAAAGAGCTGGAGCACAATCCAAATAAACCTACTGAATGTTTTTTGATGCAATTCTGACACTTTCCAAAACTTGCAGTTCATAATATGGTGAAAGTGCAACTTTTTTCATCCTCTATTTTAAGGCATTCATACAGTGCAAAGTTTCAATCTAGAACAAACCAGAAATTGGTACCAAAAGAAAATACCAGTATCAAATTGTGGTCATTTTATATTAACAATGAAAATCAGATACAAACTTTTGCAATGATCTGAAAAAAAAACAAAAAAAAACAGTGCAATCACATTGATCTCAGGGGTTATGGTCTCTCAAACAAGAACAATTAGTCCATTTGTTTTTAAATTTTGATACCATTTATATGGGCTAAAGACTAATAGTTATGTTGGAAAACTAAAAACTTGTTAACTATTATTAACAAGAATTACAAGAGACCTCAGAATTCTAGTTTACCAAAAGAAAAATGTTCTTACAAATACACAGAACAAATAATTTCAATCTATGTTCAATTTCAAGTCCTAACTTTTCATCTTTTTAGGAAAGAACATTTATTTATTTTCAACTGAAAAACTAAGATTATTATTAACTCTAAATAATTTCTTCATGTATTAGTTTTAAAAATGTCTTTTAAGGGATACAAACGAAAAAATCCCTACGTATAAATTTAATAGATTTTCTCAGAGAAGTGAAAGGTTTATCATCTTTTAATTATTATACACCAATTTACATGGACTAATATCCTAATCTTGGCTGTTACAGTCATAACATTTTGGCACAATTCAGGGGTCTTCTGTGTTAGACTGACTGAGGAGATTATTAGAGACTTGTATGTGTAGTGAGTCTTTCAATTGCCTTATCTTCCAGGTTTCTTCTCTATTATTCTGATTTCATTCCAAAAGGATTAGGGAATGATCAAAATTAAATAAACTACAGATAGAGTAAGTATATACTTTGGTTCAGTTGAAGATGTAGACAAATTACATTAGATTGAATACTCTAAATTTCCATGACAGAATTGTGCTATGGGTAATATGGTAAAGTGAATAAAAGTTTTGATTTAATCACCTAGTTGTTGCGAGTTAAATCTCTGGTTCAAATAGTGCAAAAATTCATAAACAGTAGAAGTGACAAATGACTATTACAAGGACAACTTAACAAAAAATTTAATGGATGTGAGATTTCTTCTAACATAGTGTTATAGTGGAACACACCTATTCTATAGTTAATAGACTCTCCCACCTATAATAAGTAGGAGTAGTAAGAGTAATGAGTCAGTCGCTAAGTCACTCAGTGAGTCAGGCAGTCAGTCGATGTCGGACGACCGTTAGTCAGATACTAAAAGTATCAGCGACCACAACTAGATTACTGTGTTATACCTATTATATGAAGTTCCTAACGTTTTGTATGTCGAACCTATTTTAGGACCGACTTAGAACAAATACACTGTGAAACCACTGCATAACACATAGACAGCAGAAGGATGACATTTCCACAAAGGACTTCGTTCAGAATTCCAAGAAGATTATTGTGTGCAACACACCAGAAGTAACTGTAGCAACCAAAATAAGGACACTCGTCTAAGTCAATCCATGTATAATAATAATTCCTCACCTCAAAACTTCAGGCAAAAAATTGTCTTCAAATATTTAAAAAAAAAAGTTTATTTACCATTAAACTAACATGTTTCTGCTTTGTAAATAGGATTAAATTTTGTGAATAATTTATTTCATGTTTCATAAGAATATTCTCCTTGTTTATTATAAAACTGAAACTTATGTTTCAGTTAACAATCTCTCAGTTTGTTTTCAATTTACACCCTGTGAAATATTTGTTCTGTATCCTCTTTTTGGAATATAAGAAATGCTTGTGATCAAGATTCTAGAATAAACATTATGACTTTCACTTGTAACTTATTGTGTATGAGCAAAAGAAATCTTTGCAATGAAAAAACAAAAGAATCTGACTTACAATTATCAAATCAATTGGAATTGGAAAACGTAGTCGTGATTTGTATCGCTCATTAAGCTGAGACTTTACCAAATATATGATTAAAATGCAAATGAGTGACAAGATGAATTCAGGGTAATTACTTTCTTTTATATGAGAAGCACTCTCAATTAATGTCTGAAAGAAACAAGAAATACATAGTTAGTTTTATTTCACTTAATTTCACATCAGTGATAGAGTCATTTAATATCACATTCTAAAATAACAACTATAAAATGCACACATGATACGTATAATATCTATTAACTGCTAATTGTTTCAAAAGAAACAATTTCTGAAAACTCATATAACTTAATAAAGAAAATCAAGTATCGAAAAGGAAAAATTTGAACTATACTGATGTGTCAAAACTTCATCATCCACATACAGGGTGTGGGGGATAAATTGTCATCTCAATTACCGAAAAATGAAAATAACACTGACATCTCATTTTAACAGATATATTTACAAAAATTAAACAAAAATATCTTAAAATACTAAAGAGTAAATTTATTCAATAAAATCTCCTGCAACTCTTCTGAACAGTCTCTTTAAGTTGGTGAATGCTGCCATAATCCTTGCCTTCAGTTCATCGTTGGTGTTACAAGGAGTTTTATTGGTCTCTTGCTCAACCACATCCCACACATAATAATCAGGGGGGGAGGTTACAGTCTGGAGAGTTAGGTGGCCAGATGTAAGGGGTGATGTGGTCACAGAAATTGTCTGACAGTCATGATTGGGTTATACTACTTGTGTGGCATGGTGTAGAGTCCTATTGCTAGACATAGGGTATGCCATCAGCTACCCTCTTGATCCAGGGCAGCACTACCTCCTCAAGTCACTTGGTGTAGGCCTCCATTTTTAGTCTGAAGCCCTCACAAACAAATTCGGAAGTTCTTTCCTTATCAAAACAGAGTGAGTTTTTCGAGCTGCTGTACCATCGTAATCACCATTAGACTCGTCCAACTCTTTCCAAATCCTCTGAATCGTCCTTACAGAGAGACCCAAACACTCTGAAAGGTTTCTATTGGCGCTTCCAGTGCAAATTCCAAGCAGTACAGCATGCCATTTCCAAATTTCTGGTAAAATGAATTGATTCATGAGGCTTTTTTTCTCACAGATCATGCCCAATTGACAGAATCAAAAACAGACAACATGCATGCACAAAATTAAAAATATAAAATAGTGACAATTTACCCATCGCACACTGTATATTAGAGTATTCAGAAAGTAATTACATTTTACCAGAAAGAATATAACAAGATATCTAAGTTAAATTTACTTGTATGTTATTCATAAAAAATGTCATCAACTTCATTTTCAATGGTTGTAGACCAATAGAAAGGCAAATATTGGATTCCATGTTTAAAGGAATCAGAGTTCTCCCTAAGAACAACATTTTTGAAAGAGTGCTTTCATCTTCTTTGTTTTTGAATGTTCTGTCATTTATGAAATGTTCTAGTGATTGAAAGAAATATAAATCTGCAAGTGCAAAATCTGGTGAATATGGAGGATGTAAAAATATCTCCCATCTTATGGAACTTATTTTATCAGAGTTTGCTCTTGCATTGTCAGTTGGAAAATAGCACTTTTTCTCTTTACTAAAGTAGGTTACTTTCAATATCATAATTCATTTACCCAAAAGTTGCTGACAATAAACATCTACAGTGGAGGCCCTTCCATGTTCCAGTAGCTCATAATGGAATATTCTATCAGACACAAAGAAAAAACTTCCATAGCTGGATTCTTAGTTTTGGCGTAGGCATTGGTTTCTCATTTTGGTGATGACCGCTGTCTTTTTTGTTTTTATCACCTCTAACAATGCAATGCAAAAATGAAAAGTTAGCATTCCTGGTTAAAATATTGCTTCCGATAGTGAAACATTGCTTTTGGTTCTCAAAACACTCTCAAATGAAGTACTACAAGAAGCACTTTGCTATCATTCGACATTGGTTGATTGACTCATAATTTATAGCAGTGAAATATGTAATTACTTTCCAAACCTCCTAATATCATCAACCATACATAAATATATTATAATTAAATTAAGCCTCTTAGACAAGTGTCAATGCAAGATTTTTGTTATAGCTAACATGATCATAAAAAATGAAATTATGCTAACCTAAACACTTTATCAAAGAAAATGCAGGAGTTTTTCAATCTATAGCAATCATATTAGAATGGTCCCTGTTGTAATATTTAGGCATATAGTAATGAATTCTATAAATATTTTTTCTACTCACATATGGTACACTTAGTAATCCACTGTGTCGAGAAATTGTGATTCCCAGGATATATTTTAGTTGACTGGAGATGACATGAATGGCAACTCCTGTAGAGAAAGCACTCACAATCGAATTAGACATGAATCTCACAATAATACCTAACTGTAATATGCCCATTGTAATCTGAAAACAAAAATTAAAAAGGTATGCATGATGAATTTCATCTTGTTTAATAATAAATATGATGGGTTTTTATGAATGTAACTAAAATCTTGTTATTAGTCAAAGAGTGGCTATTTTAATCTCAATTCAAATGTTTTGACTGTTTACAAACACAATGATTTGATTGGTTGTAAACTAAATATTCTAAATTGTTATAAATGGAGTGTTTTCCTGTAATGTTAATTAAACATTTTTATTTTCTATGAAGCAGACGGTGTACTAAAAATACAGCACCAAAAAATATCTGTCTTCCTTGGTCTTTGTAACAAGGTGATGGTGATCTAACACATGTTGAGGCATGTAAGTCCCTCAAACAGAAATGATAAAGGAAGCAATGTTTTATTTTAGGGTATGGGGAAAGCCAAAACAAGAATTGTCAATCAAATCTCAATGGGGAGTAAAGTAAACTACCAAAAGAAAAAAACACTAATTATAAATGCTAATTGGTTTCAATAAATGAAATTAACCAGGAACAGGTTGTGGGTTACAATGATGTTTGAACTGGTGGATTATTTGATAAAATGTCATTAAGTGAATTTCCAACCTTACCCACTTCACCTCTACGTTTTGCCAAAGTAGCTTGACATGATAAACAAAACCAAAATAACATTGATCTTGTCATTAAAAGTTATCTAGGGGTGGGTAATCCTATTTCCTTAAATATTATTCAACCTTTCTTATAAAAAGATTAGTAAATTTGACAAACAAAACTCTTAGCTGTCAATAAATGGTTTTCAAACAAAAAAATTATTCAAAGTCAGCAAAATTTATGAATAATTATACTTAATATATCAACTTGGGACATTCATGAAAGATCTCTGCAAATATAAGAAAGATAAAGACAGTAAATTTCAGGGTTTCATGCTCATCTATTTCTGAATGGGTTTTGTTGCTATGTATCACTAAGAGAAATAACAAACACACAGACACAATAGCAAACAATATTAATGAATTGAAGGACATGACAATTTTCCCAGTTCACTCTAATATTCCAATATAAAGCATAATTCCTAGAACTGTTACTTATTCTGGTTATCCCAAGATTCTCTGGAATTTAATAACATTTTCAGTGAATTTAAAACCCCAAATGTAGGTACCATAAATAAAATTGTTAATAGAAATCTAATGTTACATACAGCAGTTTTTATTATGTCCCAAAGAAAATACTGTGGAAGTGTGTATGTATATGTGTGTGTGCCAGTGAACAGAAAGACAATCTTCAACTAATCATAGCCTAATAGTTGATAGCAGGGATAATAGGATTACAATCTTTGTTGCAGATATCAAGGCATTCCTCTGATTCTAAATTTATTAAAGCAGTAGTGAAGTAATGTTTGGGTGGCCAAATCTCCAACCACCAAACTATAATCATTGTTTTCTTTTATTCTTTTGTTGAAGACAGAACGAATTCAGTTCATGCAAACATAGAAAAATTCTGGACTGTATTCATTATATAATGTCCTTATCAAAATACATGTTACATTAATAATAAGTTAAAAGCATTCCTTGCTGAGAAAGTAGCATATTTTCAAACTTACAGAAATGGCAGCAGAATTCATAATTTTTATTATTAAAACAAGCATTTTTTCTCTTCTTTGAAGATTAATACAATCTTTCTGGACACCATCAATCCATCATTTAGTTCTATATACTGCACTAAGCTAAAATTAGTAAAAATATCTCTCCTAAGTCTCCTTTGGAAAAAAGGGACAAGAACTGTATGTATTCCATTCCATACAGTTGTGACAAGGAAGAGACCAGCCATCCATTAAAAGTAAGGCTATTGTCTGGGAAGAAACATTCAAATCAAACAAAAAATAGCCAACAACTCCTGTGAGATAAGTCAAAATAATAGAACAACACTGGAATCAGCACACATTTTAGACACTGCCAACTTTCTCAGTAGATCTGGCATAGAGATAAATACCATCTGAGAACTTCTGATTAAGAATTAAAGTACAGTTAACAATAATGCGAACACCTGAATTAAGACTCTCATATAGTTTCACTACCTGAGTACAGACATTAAGCTTAAGGCTCCAAAATTTTAACAATAGATTGTCCAAAAAATACATGGCCTGGTGGTTAAAGCATTTCCTGACAGTTGTGAATTCAATCCCTGAATCTGATCATGCTAAAAACTTACATAATGAAAGAAATAAACAATCAACACAAAGGTGAATAAAACTGATATGAAATATCTCCTAATCACAGAAAGCTAGATTGAATGTTTGGTTTTAAATTTTAAGAAGAAAGTTATCAAATATGATGAAAGATATCTTAAGAAATCCAAAAAGTACAATGGCCAAAATGTTGTGCATATAACAATCAAAAGGAGGATGCTGATCTGAATGGTAAGGTATAATGTAATTATAATTCCTGATCTCAAAAATGCTTACACAAAATAAAACTCTTATTCATGTTTTGCTCAAACCAACCCAGTCAATCAAAAACAGTTTTCCAAGAATTATTTTAATATTTACAACAGGTCCTACTTGTAGTTTTAAAGGACAAAACAATTTGTTTTGTTTTCCTTTCTCACATTCTTGCTTTACTTCTTTCTTCTTCTTTCGCTGTGCTTTGTTCAGCTGTCAAGTTGCTTGATACTTCATCAAACATTTATTCCCCAAATCATGATTCATATAGCCACTTTTCTACCCATAATTCCCTGTTTTTGTCACCACCCATTATAATGTGTAAGGCAGGTAACATGATTACAAAACAATTCTTTTACACTAAGACAAATAAATTGTGTACATATAAATATAAGCATTTTCAAAGGAAATATTCATGGTTTTCTTTGTTCATTTGTTTTTTGAGTTGAAGATTCTGTAATAGAATTCTACTTTACCTGAAACAAACTATTTACAAAATCTGTGCCCTTACTGCTTCATCATTCAGTATCATTTATATTTGCAAAGTCAATAAGAAATGTTTTACCCAACAAATGTCTTTGTCTTCAATAGTTTTTATTTTAAGTGTTTGTTTTTATTTTTAAATATTAAGTTGTTCAAAAAGTTAAGTTGCATTTTCAAAGAGAGAATAAAAATAAAATGCAACAAAAGTTAAATTTTCAAAGAACATTAGTAATTAGAAAAGACCAGTAGAAAACTAACTATTTTATTTCTTATGGAAAACCCAATATTCTAGATGAAAAATCTTCACAAACATCTAAATCTAAACTTATCAGGTGTAGGTGAGAAGCAGGTATAATATGGTAGGTGTAGTGTTACTGATTCACAGTAAGTAGTATGCACTCAACTGCCTCATGGGTAATAGTCATAGCTATTTATAGTCTTTGTGACTTCATATATAAATGAATTACCTCAGTAGGTTTTATTTGTTATGGTGATTTTCTAAACATAGTTTAGACATGCCACAAGGCCAAAAGTATTGGGCATACAATGAGGATAGAACTCACTATTCCATCATAATTGATGTAGCAATACAAGCTTGCTAAACATTATATAACATCAAAATATCCTATGGTAATTTTCTAAGCAAAGCTTAGATGTGGCACATGGCTGAAAGTATGGAGCATCTAGTGAGGATCAAGGTTTTATCTGTTATGAGCTTTTAAAGTAAAACAAATTATTCATAAAATAATGATTAAGTTAAACATTATGCAAAGAAATTTCTAGATTTGATCAACAGAAAGAACAAAGTTATTCTTAATGATAATGCAAGTTTTTTTTATCATTTCACCTCCAAGCAAGGCAATAAAGTCACTAAGATGCAAGAGGTTAGTGAGTGTGAAAGAATATGAGAAAAAGAAAACTATTAAGGAGAGAGAACAATAAAAGAACAGGAATTAAGAAGACAGAAAATAACAGTTGACATTGTATTTAAATTTTTGAAGTTCTAATTTGACTAGAAAGCAAGAAGCTGGAAGAGAGTCCCACAAGCAAGAAGTGCAAGTGAAGAAGCTATTAGCATAGAACTCACGGTTACATCTAGTCATTTCAATTGCCATATAAACATTCTATATATTCTATAGACATTCTGCAAAATTAACCCTTGATATTAGAATATTTTCCTTCTAATTCAAATTGCTTAAAACTTTAATGCTCTTATTTAATCAAATCAATAGAACAAATGGAGAAAGATCAATTCAATGTTATCAGAATTTTCTTTACAATTCTCTTTTGTCAATGCAAATAATGATGCTTATGATCTTGACAAATAGATTTAACTTGTGTTACATTTTAATTGTTTTTCAATGTCTCCAAAGATGAAACATTATAGTGAAATCCATGTAGTATTATTTATTCTAGTTAGTGTAATTTTATATTGTCAGAAGGATGCACTTTCTCTTGAACAAAATTAAGTCAATTTTTTATAAATTTTCATTATTTCTTAACAAAGATCTATTTTGTCTTTTATTCTAAAAGTTTGTAAGAGATAAAACTTACAATATTCTGCAACTTCTAATTCTTCAAAAAGACAGGAGAGTAGAGCTTAGATTTACACATTAAAATATTTTTTTATTCAGAATTCCAGATACTTTCAACAAAGAATAAAAGAATTTGTTTTACAGAAGGCTCTTGTCATTGTTAATAAAGATGCATATTATCTTGACAAATAAATTTAATATTTTGCTACATTTATTTTTTTATTCTATTTTGAAAAATGCAATGTCAATTTCTAAATGATTTTTACTTTTATACCAATGTCCATCTCTAAAGCACAATTTATATTCTTTTGTTTCAGAAATGAGACATTTTCTAAAGCAATACTGGTTTAAACCAAAATCAATTTATAATAATTCCTTTTACCTGTGTAATTCCAGATATAACTGTTAAAGCCATAGCAAACTTTATTTTTTCATGAAATAACTTGTCTTCAGAATCAAAGTCTTCATTGTTGTCCAAATCATTGCTATGAAGAGTTCCATTTAAAATATTGTTGGAATCAGGGAAGCGCTGGTCAATCAAAGCACCAAACATCAAAGAAACTACCACAATAGCACCTAAATGCACAAGACAGAAAAAGAAATATGCAAATTTCTTAGGTGAAGCATTATCAATATTAATGTTTTAACTAATGTTTCTTTCATTTTATAACAGTTACTTGTTATTGAAAATCTTACATTATTATCCTATAAGATGAAAGAAAGACTAGCCAAAAATTAATAACAATGCTTCATCTCAGAAATTTGTAAGCAATGATTTTAATGAAATCTGTAAGCAATGATTTTAAAATTGTTAATGTGTATAAACAAATAAGATGAGGCTATAGTAGTAATCAGAAAAAAAATAAGGATTCTCTGTTCCATGTTGTTTTGAGCATCACCATTTTTTTATAACATTTAAGCATTTAAACACAAACAAAATATGGTTCAGTAGGCTTTTTCTAAATTTATGTAAAAATTACACATAGAAACAACCAACATAACCAAACTTGTACAAATCATTTATTACATTTGATTTGGATGTTTTCACTAAGTTGGCTGTCTTATATATAACATTGATTATTCTCAAATAATGTCTTCATTTAATCCCCATCGACTTCATCTGGTTGACATTACCAAGGAAACATCCATCTTTAAACATATTAAATACTTCCAGTACCATCATGAAATGAAAAGGCTTTTCTATGTTTGAGTGGCATTTTTAAAATAAAAAGTATTAGCTGTAAAAAATGCTGCTTGCTATTTTCCATGTAAGAATGAATAAATAAAAATAAATATTTCTGGCACTTAAAAGAAACCAATAAAACACCTACAGTAAAATGGAAATTAATAAGAAAAGCTAAAATATGTAGGTCATTTAATGACCCATGTCCTTTGTGCATACATGAGAAACTATATATTACTAAGTTTATAAAGAATAAAAATTAACTGAATCAAAGAAATGAAATAGCTATTCTTTGCTAACATTGTCAAAAATTTTCCTTAAATAATATTAAAAAAAAAAATAAATAAAAATAAAAAAAATGGGAGCTGGTAATATACATACTTATATTTGATATGAAAAAATAATTTTTAAATAATTTAAGTAATTCTATTACATTTACTTGATTTAAAAAGAAATAAAGTCTATTAGCAATTAAGAGTAAAAATAATATTTTAAAATCGTAGTTAAATATAACATATTCTAACCCAAACACTCCTTTTAAAAAGAATCTTTAAGTATACAAGTACGAATTTAATGGTAAAAATGCTGAAAAACTTTTTGTTGTTAATAATAAAAAAAAAACCAGGCAACATGCGTTTAACGAATGTCAGAATTTGTTGAAAAATGCACCCCTCTTTTTCGAACGTAACTCATAATTGATACAACAATAGTTAATAAAAATGAACATGCTACCACCCCTGTCTAAATGAATGGATTTCTCTGTATCCTCGGAAACCAAAAATTATGAATTTATATGTGTGTTTAAAACTCGGTAAATTTAAAAATAAGATATTCCAAAATTCGCTTGAAGATGAAACAGAACTAATGCTTTTAATTTAATTATATAATTAAATTTGAAGTTTTTAGCTTCAGTTTTTGAAACATGGTTATTACTGTGTAGTGAAGAAACCATATTTTAACTCAGTTAATGTATAATATTTATGCTCGATAAATTTACATTGAGCACTGTTTTGTAAAAATAAAAAATAAAAATATCAATAAGAACACCGGATTATATATCTTACTGTTCTTTCTTTTTATTATAATATACAAATTTTGAGAATTAAAAATAAAATGTATGCTGACTTGACGAATGTCACATTAGTCAAAAATGATCTCTTAGGATAAAGTTAGTTAAAACTAGATGCTCTTAGTTCCATCTAACGACAAAAATGAACAAACTTTAGGCTAATATATAGTGTTTGCTATCAATGTTTCCATTAAAACTTTATACTCACCCATAGAAAGATGCCTTGATGTCCCCAGGATGCAGTAGAATACAACAGGGAAAAAACCCATATAAAGCCCAACAACAGCAGGAAGACCAGACAAAAGTGCATAAGCCATGCCTTAAAACAAAAACAAAAAAAAAAGATCATTTTATGCATATGACAACTAGTTAGGTAAGTAGGAAGTTAGTTCATGTAGGTGCTGCAGATTTTACAAGTACATGAATGTATTGATTATGAAAGGAAAAAGATTTCTGTTTTGTACCAATCACCAAATGGGGAGAGCTTGCCTCAAGTCAAAATCAGATTTTGAAATTCTAGCTTTTACTTAAATATGCTTTACAAATTTATCTTGATCAACAAGCAGGCTCTTAATTCAGCAGGTAAGTAAAATTCATTTACAGAGATGTAAATGAATTTTACTTACCTGATGAGTACAGAAGAACTATCATTTATTTAAGACTAATTTACCTATACCTTGAAAAAATGGTCATATTTAAGTAATTTTGTAATTGTATTGGTTATATTTTCTGCATGAGTTGTCTAGGATTTTTATCTATACAGTTAACAAATATTGTAAGTCATGAGAAAGTATTCTGCATTTGGAGATATTAAAAGCCCAAAAATATTAACAGAAGGCACAATCACTGATTGGCATGGAGACAGTGGCATACCAAGGTCCTAGTCCAAGGGGGACAAGAGTTCATCTCAGCACCCCCTACCACAACCAGTAGCCAACAAGCCGGGATAAATCAAATACTAATTTTTTAGAAATTCAAATACAAATACTTCTCACAATTATTGACATGATATAATTGGAAATACAAACATAAATACAAATAATTTTATTCCAGAATCCAAAAATAAAAAACAAATACAAATACTTCTAGGCAAAAATCTAAAATCTAAATTCTTTTTCACACAAATACAAATAGTCTGAAAAAGTATTTAAATACAATTCAAATACACTTTTAATTGATCCATGACTACCAACAAGCACTGTGTATTGACAAAACCTGAATTAAAAGATGTCAAGACTAGAGCAATTCATTTCATTTTATTTGAATTCGTAATTTGAATTAGCAGCAACATACAACCAGGCTTGGTGGTCAAAAATTTGTTAATAACATCATCCACATTTATATGTCCAAATTCTTCATTTTTGATGCTAATAAAGTCAAAGCAATTTGTCATTCCTGACACATTATGCTTCAGAAACAGTTTTTTTATTAATTTTAGTTTGCTGAAAGAGTGCTCACAGGATGCCACAATGACAGCAACAGCCAAGAGCATGAGCAATGCTATTTGTAAATTGGGGAACACATCATCACCATAAGATATTGTGAAGTTGAAAAGCTCAATTGGGGTTTTTGTTTAATAAACGCATTGTCTTTTCTTTTTTTGTATTAACATTTGGCAGTCTGTAATTTCATGACCGAGTTCCATTCCATCAAAATCCCCCTCGTATGATGCAGCAGCTACTTTGCATTTTTCTATCATGTCTTTGTTTGAGTCAAAAACGCTTTCAGTATCCAAAAGGAAACCAAATTGCACATGTAACTGATTCAACCTTGTAAATCAATCTTTTATTTCTGTATTCAACCTGTCTTGTTCTGCCTTCAAGGTAACATCCATTTCTTCTCTCATATTTAGAGGTTCATCTTTAGTCTTCTCTCTGGCCATTCTTTTTTTTTTTACAATGCACTCTTCTCTGTTGACTAACATCAATACTCCATTCTAAGCATTTTCCTTGCCTTTTGCAATTGATCTTTTACAGAGAGAATCCTTTTCAATCATAACAGATTGTTGCAGACTTTGAATGTCAGCTCAAGCTTCATTGAAGTTGATTCTAAGGAAATTTTCTTCTGTACGCGGTCAATGAAAGTCAGGATGTCGTCCCAGAACAGCATGCACTTTTACGTGGTTCAAAGAATAGTTGTCACAATTCACAATGGATTGCTTTCAAGTTTCTCTGTAATATATGTTTCTGAACACCAGACATATTCCCAGCCATTTTTGAGGCATTGTCATACGTTTGCCCATGACAGTCCTTCAAAACAAGATAATGTCATTTCTATTTTGAGGTAATTTCTTCTGTGACACACTTGGTGTCTTTTTCATGAATTTTAATAAAATCAGTGAACGCTTCTTTGACGACAACAGTTTTAGATTTGTTGTCAACATTGACAAACTTGAGAATTTCAGACATTTGTTCATTGTTAAAAACATCAGTTGTGTCAAACATAATCCCATAATATTTGCTTCTTTTGACTCTCTGTAGGATAGATTGATGTATTTTGTTGCCCAGGAGCTCAATTAACTTATTCTGTATCTTGCTGTAGTTGGATGCAACTTGACATAGTCCAAGTGACGTTGCAACAGAGGGTCATACTTGCTAAGTAGCTTAATGAGTGCAAGAAAATTACCAAGATTATTACTTGATGCAATAACTTCTTGGTGTCCACAAAATGCCAGATGTTGAATTGCCAAAAACTTGATACAATCCACAAAATGCATTAGCAGATCTTTCAACAATTGTTTCTGTTCCTTCAAATACTTCAGTATTACTCTGTTAGTCATAAACCTTCTGATATTGCACCTCTCAAAGGCTTTCCATGCAAGAAATGACACTCAGTGATGAGTGCCCTGTTCATGTTCTCATATTCTTTCATTGCATTTTTCCATTTTCAAAATTCACAAGATTTTTTGAATACCATGATTTGATTGACTGCGGCTGTAGATAGCAATAAATAGCAAAAACAATACACTGCATCATTTTTAACAGAGTATAACAAACAATTACACAGAATTATATACCCATTCTGTAGTTTTCTTTGAAACCACTAATTCATGAAGCTGTGGTTGACACACACATGTTTTGTGCTCATTTCACTTCTCATCACTTCTTTGACACATTGACTCTTAATAACTTCTTGAGCTTTTGTAACTTTGAAAAGGCGGAATTTGCTCTGAAAAGCTCTGGCACCTATCTTCACAATTAGTACACATACATCATCAGAAATTTGTGCTTTATCGCAATTTACATACAAATTTAAGCAACCTACATCTTTCTTTGTTAATACTGCATATTTAGTTTCATCATATTGTGCATGTTCATCAGATTGGCAACAAAACAAAGATGAAGACTGACCAGAAGCATCCAATAAAATTGTTTGCTTTGCCTCAAAATCTATCCTAACAGCCAAATACATATATATGTTGCAATAAAGCATTCTTCCCTACATTCTCAGTGGGAGTGCCTGATTCTCAATAATGAACTTCAAAGACCTTCATTGACTTTATCGATGTAGTATAATTATATGATAATAATAATAATAATATTACAGTGAAGGCTACAAAAAACACCCTGCAAAGCTTTTGCCATGGCTAACGACAACCAAAATTGTACCATAAAACTTGTGAATATTTTCGCATCAAAACCCTGTATATAAGAATATCTAGCACCAAGTTACAATAAGATAATTATGTCTAAATCTTTTATATATTCATTGAAATGTTATGATCTATCAATTGAGTCAAGGAGAAAAATCACCATTATCATTTTACAAAGAAACACTAGGTTTACCATCCTAGGAATACATCTTAAAACATTAAAATGGATTAGTTTTCAATATGGCCTTAACTGAGGGAAAACAATTAAACAACACTTTTTGTTGTTTCTATAATACATTTCACATTTTGGCTTGCATGTGCTTCCAGCTACACTGTGCATGATTGAAGGACTACTGAGTGCCATTGCCAAAATAATTAATTACACTGTGTTAATGAAATAAGTATCTACAGATAGTCACAAAAACGTTATTAAGGTAAATAAAAAAAGAGGAAATTTTAGGTCCTCTTTCACCACTTTTTGACCTACCCTAACCTAACTTGGTCTACATTTTTCACCACATCTAAGCAAGATTTTTACATGTTTTTTGTGAAAATATTAGAAGTGGAATATTTTGCTTGCAATTTAGTCTCAGTCCCGACAATAAACTTGCCAATCATCGAGTGATTTTGTGTCAATTGATGGTATGCCCTAGGGTAGCTCCCCTTCCCCGACCCCTATGTTCCACCACAGCATGGAGATATTTTGGCCTTGAAATATGGTAATTTTTGCACTTGCCTACCAGTCTCAAACAAACTCAGCCTTTCTTATACCTCCATTGTTATTTTCCCCACAAATTTCTAATATATTTAACTTAGGTACCTCCACGAAATCGCTAAAAAAAGAGCATAGCTTGATGAAAAAGATGCCAACCTTGCCGAAAACAAAATTTTATTGTCTAAATGCTTATGTTATTATTAAGAGGAAAGACCAAAGTTTTTTTTTAATTATTTTTAAAAAATTTTCCTTCTTTTTTGAACATTCGAAATTTTGATTAAAAAACCTTTTTTCTATTTGTATCAGCGGAACTAGTAAATAACATAGACAATTTTTAGCATGTTTTTTTGATATGACACACATTAATTTGAAAAATCGTGCAAAAATAGAAATAATTATCGGATGTTAATGAAACTTTCAGGAACTATTAACAGATGATTGAAATTATTATAAATATGTTTTTTTTATGAAAGTCATGGTAGAAATATTTTTTTTAAATATTTATTAACCCCCCATAACTAATTTAATGAAAACGCTAGAAATTCGATCGCATCAGTTTTAGTGATTACAATAATTAAAAGCACAGGGCTTTGAGGAATGCAAATCATGTTTTTTTTGTTTTTAATTGGATATGCAGTACCTGAAAATCAGCTCTGAATTGTAACATACAAAACTCAATAAAACAAAGATATTATTTAATTTCAAATGCTTTTATTTGCTTTTAGTTGTTTTTATGAATATGGACAATATTTTCTGAAAGCAAAAAATTTTTTTTGAGATGAAAAATGAATTTTTAATACAATTATTTGTTATTTCATTAATTATAATAGATTTTACATTTAAGTTGTTAAAATATTATAAAATTAGTTAAAAGTCACATCGGCTTTCATAAGTGTCCTTATGAGATAGATCTTTTTTTTAGCGTGTTGTAAATTGTATCATTTTGACTAATCAGAAGATCCCCAGTAATTAAGAAATGTAATTTTGTGCTTATAATCGAGCTGTAATTATAAAATACGGAAGACCAACCAGAATATAATTAAGTTGCGTTATTTGAGTTAAGCATTGTTCTCTGCTGTTAAGGCCTTTACTTTTACTGTAAACACGTGTGGAGAAGTTAATTTGATTTTCAATTTCAACTGAGAAGGGTACCTACAAGTATCAGTATCATCTTATGAAATTTATATGATCTTATTTTTATATTAATCTCAGTTACGACATTTTTCCATAAATGAAATATCAAAATTAATAATAAAATGAATGCAAATATAAATAACAGTAGAATGTAATAAATGTACATAAAATTATAGTATTTTATGTACAATTCTGATAAAATTTCATAAGAAAGGTACCTATAAATTAATTAGATACCTTTCTTAAGAAATATGAAATTTAATGTCACTCTTAACAGTTTTATTTTAATTTCTTTTTACAATATATTTCCCATAAAGCATCATAAATGTAAAGGTGAAAGCTAAGTACAAAAAAAAAAAAAAAAAATTAGACTGCTGAAAGTTTTCGTTAAAAATAACGGGTAGATAATTTGTTCACGTAAATGTAAATTATTTCACTTTTCTCCTTCCGTAGAACAAATTAGCCACATGGAATTCGTAAATATATCATTCATCACATGTCAAAAGACGCGAAAGTTTATGACCTGCTTTGTTTTATTTTCAAATTACATCTTTTTGGCACAAAAGCTAAGTTAAGTTTGGTTCAAAATATTTTAAATAAACATTATAATTTCTGATTTTCTTAAAATAAGTTTTGAAAAATGATAATTGATATTTAAAAAATTTCAAAGTCAGATTTCCAGTTTTTTTAAAATGGAAAAAATGGTCAATTTTGCTGACTCAAAAAAAACTAGATTTTTAACGAAAATTTCGGACGTGCTAGGAACGATTAAAAAATGGAAAAAATACCCCAAAAATACTTTGACCTTTCCTCTTAATAATAACAAACATTTAGACGATAAAATTTTGTTTTCGTCAAGTTTGGCGTCTTTTTCATCATGCTATGCTCTTTTTTTAGCGATCTCGTGGAGGTACCTAATTTAACTTGAGATCGGCTTGAAAATGCATCAATTTTTTAAGAAACAATAATGACACTACATTCTATGCTTTATTTTTTTTCAGATAATCAATCATGTTGTGAAATTAAGGCTACAAAGCACAACACAAATAACTTTTTCTAATTGTGTATAAAATAGCAATATGAAAAATGGAACCAGCAAGTCAAGTGGAAATTCCAACAGAAACTGTTGCATTCACATTGAACTCCTACCTTTATGAATGACATAAACCCTTCTTTTCTCTCCTCATCTATGGGTAAAACAGCAGAATAGACTTGGCCCCTTTGCCTTGGTTGGCAACTCTGAATAAAAATCCCATGTAGAAAGCAATGGGAAATCAAATATAATCATGGTAATGAACAGTTTACAGTTATTATAAGAAAAAGAAACTGCAGACAGATTTGATCTCTACATCTTGAACGAACATGGGGTACTTTTTTTTTAAATGATAAATATTTAAATGCCACTTTTTCCAGTTAAGTGCTTTTATTTAGTTGCATATTTTAAACTGCAATTATTTTTTTTTTACTGTCAACAATTTCTTGATGTGAAAAGAAATTAATTCAGACTTACCTTGGGGCAATTGCATAAAGCCAACAGTCAAGCCTGCAACAATATCATTAAGAAGGTAATTTTTTATACTGTAAGTCCTCAACAGATTTATCACAGGGAACATTCCAGTCACCCTCTCCATGGAACACTTACAGATTTTCTGGAAGACCTTCTTAAACCGGTTAATATTTGGCTCTTGCTTGATATCCAACTGATGAGTTTTTATGAACTCGTGTGTCCAATAGATGGGTCGACTAATTTGAATCTTATTGGAGTCACAAAAGGACTCCATCATGGGGATATCAGTTGACATTATTGCTGACTTTTATTTTATAATCAGAAAATATCTGCAAATACAAAAGGAAATGTACTATACCTACAATATAATCATATTTAAAAGTAAATACATGAAAAGAAAATGGCTATGATTACCTGCTTATTGAATAAATGTTGCTTAATACAATTCAGATTTGGGAAAGAAGAGTGAGATCCAAACTTTTCAGCATTTTCCTCATAGACAATGTGCACCAAATAATTGAGAAAAAATTATAATATAAAGAGAACAAAGATATTTAATTGTAAAAAATATCAGTATATTCAAAAAAAATATCCATCTATTCAAAAATCAGAAAAAAGTTATTCAATAAAACTGCCCTCAAACTCATGGACATTGATTTCAAAACACACTCAAAAACAACTGTATCCTCATATCAAGTGGTCCTCACTCATGTTGGCCATATCCACAATATCAGCCTTCAAGAAGTGCTTGGTAGGATCATGGGTTGGCCTTCTACTCAATAATGTCCCAGGAGATTCAAATCAGGAAAAGCTTGTAAACAACATGTTGGCAGTGACATAATCATGAAAATTTTCAACCAGCCCATTCTTGATCCCATGTGTTAACTATGCTGACTCTTGTGGTCCTACCAAAGATTGAACTCACCATCCAACAAATTTCTGATTAGAATCCTGTTCCTCAGCTTAATGAATGGCAGTAGCAGGCTTGTCTCCCTTCCTACCAAAGTGGATTTAACCGTTAGGCATTATTTAAGTTTATTGAAATTTCACCTAAAGCTAATTTTTTCTATTGTCTAGTAAAGTGCTGTTACTCAGTTTATTGATCAAGATTCAGTTTTATCATCATGGAACATGTAAAAGAGAGCAAAGTTCAGCTATAACATGTACAGAAACCATTTTGAATTCAAGGTTTAACCACTGTGCCCAGAAGCTTGATCTTTGTAGTCCTATTGTCCCTGAATTGCTGTGCAAAGAAGATTGATGACATGATCCTGATCACTGCCCACTTGCTTGATTATCACAGTTAATATATGACCTAAATGTTCATAACTGGCGATACCTCTGTCAGGTGTGTGCATATAATAACCTGCCATTGCTCCTGTTCAGCTGGTCATATTTTAAAGAAAGTGGAATTTATTCTGGTTGGTGGCAATTGCCATGATCACAATGTACCTTTTCCTTTATTCTGTTAGAAAGCAAGTGCCTCTTGAGTTGACTAAAAGGGAAATTAAATGTCAAAATTTTACATGCATCATAACATTGTTAGTTTGCTTTCTATTTATCCTGTACACCCAATGTGTGTGTGTGTATATATATATATATATGTAAAATTTTGAAAACTTAATGATGTTTTTACTTCTTTTTATAAATACTTGTTGCAAAATAAAATCCTTTCATTTAACATGATAAAGTCCCTCAGGGAACAAAATGCATTGCTAAAGAAAAAAAATATGAACCGAAAAAGGCCAAAATGATAACTTTGATGTAACAATGGGTAGCTATGTATGCGAGATTGTAGGCATATATATATATATATATATATATATATATATAAATAATCAACAAATTAGCAACAATAATTAACAAATATATAGGTTTAAATAAAGATGATGGACAACTAACACTAAGAAATTATAATGACAGAACAACTGACATAATCAGAAAAAAAATTTAAAAAAAAAACATTAAAAAACCCAGGATTTATTGTCAATATAAAATCTGACCCCAAAATAGTAAATTTCCAAGATATAACTTTCAAATTAAACAGTAGAACATACAAACCATGCAGAAGACCAAATAACAAACCAATTATATATTAACAAAAATCCCAACCACTCTGCTACTATATTCAAACAAATAGCCATATCTATGCAAACACTGATGTTAGCACCAGCAAACTTAGAGAGTGAAGATGCAAATGATCAAATGTCACACTGCTAGATCTCAGATTAGCCTATTTACAGGTGTGCATCAATGAACAACGTTGGCCATATGAAACTGTTATCTTTCAAGGCAGAAACTGTTATCTTTCAAGGCCTAATCAGACTGGGATTTGGGCTGAACATTACCCACAAAATAATGAGGTCCATTATTGATGCCGTGACATCACAGAATAAAAAAAAATCAGAGAGGCACTTTTGTCATACATTGACAACCTGTACATAAATGAGGATATTGTGAACACCTGTCACACTTTTGACTGACAAGCAAAATTCCAGAACAACCAGAAAATGAAGCTCACATACTTAGCTTAATTATCTGAGGAGAAGACAATATTCTGCTTTGGAAGTGTGGGAATGCACTTCCTGAAGTCCCAGAGGTGGCAAGCTTGTCGGACACCTCCTTGTCTGTGGATAGCTGTGATTAGCAGCTGGTATCATCAAGTGAAGAACAAAGCACAGTGATGAAAGTTTGGGACAACTGAACAATGCCCTGCTAAAAAGAATGCTGAAAGAGACTATTACCAGGGTGAGGCAAAGATACCTGCATAGAGACAAGTGGTGCATTGATAGCAGGTCCTTTGGTCACTGGAGTCTTGCTTGAATTGTGTTGGTCTGTTATAGAAGACACATGTTGGTTGCAGACAGAGTCAGACACACAGCACATCAACCTCAGAGTTAGATGCTGTTATAAAGTGGGTAAACCTGTCTATACACTAGGAAGATAAGACAACATTTAAAAACTGATTTACTGTGTATTTTACTCACAACATGCTGACAGGCAAAGCCAGAGTGAGCACTAAGGCTGCAAGTGAGACGCTGATCAGGAGGTGGCTGCAAACCTTTGTTAAGGAGTTGGTTAAGGAGCTCAACAAATCAGATCAGAATAAAGTGAACTGAAGCACCAGTTCTGCAGAGGTGGCCGGCTGTGGTATAGAACAGAGTCAGATAAGGTAAATACACTCACAGAGCAGACACACAAATATATATATATATATATATATATATATATATATAGAGAGAGAGAGAGAGAGAATATTTACAGGAAAATGTGAATAAAAATTAAAATATTTACTAAATAATGTTGACTAAATATTGATGAACTAAAATTCTTATACATTGTTTCTTTCAGATTTTCATACATTTTCATTGTTTTGGATACTGTATCTTCTGGCATTTTTCTTTTTCTTTTTGCTGTGTTATTCCATTGGATTCTAACAGTTTTATCACTTGTAACCATCAGAGAAAAAGAGAGATTTTATGACAATCATATTTTTACAGCTTAACTGCATCTTTAGTAAACAGTTTTTTCTTATCTTTTTTTACCATGAACAATGTTTTCCAACATTAAAGATTGAAAATTAAATCCCATCTTCAGTCCACTACTCTAATACCAATATTCTATCCAGATTTGCTAATTTTAATTTCTTAGATCAATTACTAATATCTTCATTTTTGCTTTCATAACATTTCAGCTGGCCATTTCTCCAGTCTTACATGAATCTGACATTGAGTGAATAATCTTAATTTGCTTATATATATATATATATATATATATATATATATATATATATATATATATATACTGATGATGGCAAATGTCGCCTAACAGTTAATGATATAACAAATAGAATCAGAAAACTGAATTTAAACTCTTTGGCATGCTTCATATTCACTTTTGCATTGATACTCTTAGGGAAAGTATGAATCCATTCCTCCCCACAGCTACAGGTAAATAGCAGGGTAGTTGAAATTGTTTAGCCTTAGACTGTCTTAGTCTATCTTGGGCAGCTGGCTAGCAACAACTTGCCTCTGCACAAATTCACTTGCTTGCTACTGAGAGCAAAGCAACAGCACTCGGTGTGATTGCAGCCCTATGCTCCACAAGAAGTATGTAAGAATAAATAATTACCTTCATCATCTTAAGTTACTATGACACAAGGCCAAAATAGTTGAGTAATAGTAGCAAGAACATTAGTCTGTGGATTATATTGCCTTATTTTCCTACAAAGTACTATAGCCTCCTTGAGTATTGATTCTTATTTGGTATTTATTTGCACACTGAGCTTACTGCTCATACTAACAGATAGTAACATATTACTGGTTCATTCAGCTTACATATTTTCACTGGCGTTATTGTGAATTTAGTTCAAAAGGTACCATCATCTAATAAACAATCTGCTATACTTGTTTTGTAGTCATGCCAGATTGGACTGGCTTCTAAAATACCATAGATTAGTTGATGGTTTATGCCAATTATTCTAATTTTAAGTGAAAAACATTTTGCTTTTTAATTTTATTCCTTAAATCCTATTAATTACCATTAATAATTTTATGAAAATTTTTTTTTATTTATAATTAACATGACTTCAGGGTAAAAAAATGTTTTGTACATATGCAGTAAAGCTGTAAAAAAATACGATCATAATAAAATAACTGACAATTTCATTGCTTGTAATTAAAAATGTACTTATCTTTTTCTCTCTTTTCAAAAATGCCAGTCAAATGTTTTTTTTATGCTCTTACCACTTAATACATAAAAAGAATGTGAAAGATTTCAATATTTTCTTTCATAAGTGGCAACTCAGATACATATTATCAAGAGATAATCAACATCAAGTATACACTTCAGAATAACAACTACCCTGCAAACATGACATTGGCATCTGCGTTTTCCTTCTTCATACTATAATAGTAACATTTATCCCTTAGTACTCAACAAAAATTTTAGGTAAGAAAACCCCAGATACTTCTTGTATTTTCCAACTAAATTATATGGACACTCATTACACATATCTGT